AGAAATGGTAGGATGGCTGTCTGCCCTTCTCCCCAGTGAGAGTAGGTGAAAGAGAAGAGTTCTTTTATTGCATTTTCTTAAAAAACACATTTTTGGGGGGCGCCTGGGTGGCTCAGTCGGTTAAGCGGCCGACTTCGGCTCAGGTCATGATCGCGCGGTCCGTGGGTTCGAGCCCCGCGTCGGGCTCTGTGCTGACAGCTCAGAGCATGGAGCCTGTTTCGGATTCTGTGTCTCCCTCTCTCTGACCCTCCCCTGTTCATGCTCTGTTTCTCTCTGTCTCAAAAATAAATAAACGTTAAAAAAAAAAACACATTTTTTTTAACTTTTATTTATTTTTGAGAGAGAGAGAGAGAGAGACAGAGCACACGCTGGGGAGGGGCAGAGAGAGAGGGAGACACAGAATCCGAAGCAGGCTCCGGGCTCTGAGCTGTCAGCACAGAGCCCGACGCGGGGCTCGAACCCACGGACCGCGCTATCATGACCTGAGCCGAAGTCGGACGCTTAACCGACTGAGCCACCCAGGTTGCCCCTGAAAGAGAAGGATTTTAAACAGTAAACCATTGCTACTGCTATGTGGCCTGAAAGCATTAATAATAATTGTTGGATTTCGTCAAGTTTTCCAGTCACCCATTGTGGTTGCAACGTGGCACGTCTTCTTAACATTCTGTCCTTCCTTCCTTGTATATTAGCTGGACCACTTCTGTGCAGAGACACTTCCCCTGTGGGGAAGTTCCTTTAGAAAAGGTGGGAAAATGCTTGTTGTCTGCCCATCTTCTCTTCTCAGAACAACGGCTTGCTTCACTTGTGTCTTTTCACGCACGATGCCAGAGAGTTGCTTTTTTTCCCGCGTCCGTGTGAGATTGTGTATTTAAACACATGTGATGTGTAAATGGATGTTCTACTTAGGATCCTGATTGTGACTCGCACTGTCCCTTTTTGGGCTAATAGGAGTCACTTCTGGTTGCTTCTCAGGTCTTGGGCGCCTCGGTGGCTCAGTGGGTTAAGCGTCCGACTTCAGCTCAGGTCACGATCTCGCGTTCGAGCCCCACGTTGAGCTCTGTGGTGACATCTCAGAGCCTGGAGCCTGCTTTGGACTGTGTCTCCCTCTCTCTGCCCTTCCCCTGTTTCCGTGCGTGCTCTTTCTCCCACCCTCCCTCTCTTTCTCTGTCTCTGTCAAATCTAAATAAAACATTAAAATTTTTTTTTTTTAATTTAAAATTTAAACTCCACGCGAATTTAGCTTCCTTGGTATCAGGCTTATCTGGTATATTTCCTGCCAAACCCCTTTGCCAAGGAGACTCTGGGAGTTAAAAACAAACAAAAACTTGATGCCCTGGTCCCACCCTCAGCCAGCTTAATCAGAATCTCTGGGAGGTGGGGACCAGGTACAGGTTTTTTTTGTGGTTTTTTTTTTTTTTTTTTTTTTTTAAATTTTTTTTCCCAACGTTTTTATTTATTTTTGGGACAGAGAGAGACAGAGCATGAACGGGGGAGGGGCAGAGAGAGAGGGAGACACAGAATCGGAAACAGGCTCCAGGCTCCGAGGCCTGACGCGGGGCTTGAACTCACGGACCGCGAGATCGTGACCTGGCTGAAGTCGGACGCTTAACCGACTGTGCCACCCAGGCGCCCCTGTGTTTTTTTTTTTTTTTTAAATTGCTCACAGCCTGGATGGAAAACCACCAAGGCACAACGTATGTTCTCGCCTGGCTCTCCTGTGCTGTGTCTCTGAAAAAGGGCTAGAGACCTCATCCTTGCCTGGCGAGTGCCCTTCACCAAAGTGTGTATTTCAGAATGCCGACCTCCATGTATCTGCTTGGAATGGAAAGTCGCCCTTGCTGGTGGTCACCGAGGGTCCATGCTGACATCACTCTCCTGCTCTTTGTATTATTGTTGGATTGTGTCGGTGACTTCCCATTGCCCTTGGGATGAAGACCCAAACCCCTTACTTGGCCTCCGGTGTAGACTGGTCAGCCCCCTCTTTGTTCCTGGAATAGGGTTATGTTCCCTTCTGCCATGGGGCCTTTGCACACACACCCTTGTTGCCAAGACTACCCTGCCTCTCCCCTTTACTTGTCATCCTCTACTCTTCAGAGCCCACCTCGGGGATGCCTTCTTTGACCTTCGTCAGAGAGATCAGCCCCCATCCGCTTATCCGCTCCCTTGCCGTGAGCTCACTAAGATACCAGTGATCCCACCGGTAATACTGACCTATCTTCAGGAAACAATCCTCACTGCAGTCGTGCTTGAGTGCCCGCTCACAAGATCCTTTGATTAATGGCTCTTTCCGGACGCTGCGAGGGGCTCGTAGTCTGTTTTCACCACTTGCCTGGCAAGGTCCTTCTGTCTGTCTGTTCCTCTGTGTCTTTATCTCCAAAGCGAGGATGATGCTTTTATCTCCTTGGTAGGCTGGTTCTAAAGATGAGATGACATCATTTGCATAAAGTACTTATAACACAGCTCGCTCGCAGAGAAGTTAGCAGGTGTTATTATGACCCCTGTGCACTGTGGGCTTCCTGAGGGCAGGGATTGTGTCTGCTCAGGTTTGTGTGCATGGCGCTAGGCATATAGCAGGTGCTCAGAAAATACTTGTTGAATGAATGAGTGAATGAATGACTGGGGTAACTTCGGGGGACCTGGGCAGCACCACAGCCACGGGGTCGCGGTGGGGATTTAAGAGGGGGCAGGCATGTGGCACACTGTGCCATCTTTGCACATAGTAGTCATTCAGGAAATATTTCCTGGGTGAGAGTGGGAAGCTGCTGTGTGTTTCTCTGAAGGCCGCCGGGGCTCGGGAGGGAAACCCTTTTGGGGTGCCAGTCCTCGGCGTGAGGGTGGCTGCCGGTCATTTGAGAGGAAGACTGGTCACGAGCGCCGGCCTGGATGAGAAGATTAACGGATCATTTCTCTTTTCCTCCCACCCTGTGTTTTCTCTCCGCTAGAACCCCTGCCCGGAATCCAGTGCCTCCTTCCTGTCCAGAGTCACCTTCTGGTGGATCACAGGGTAAGGCCCGGCCGGTGCTCTCCCTCCCTCACCCTTCCCCTGGGTGCGTGCGAGCGTGCCTGCCGGGGGCGCGGCTCCCAGGTGCTGACCCTGCGCCCACATGCACGGACCCGACTTGCGTGAAACACGAACGGCTCGCACCTCTGCGCACGGCTTCACCTGGGGCCCTTACAAGCCTTGTGCTCTGAGCTTCCAGGTTTGGGTGCTTTTTTTTTTTTTTTTTTTTTTTTTTTAATGTCAGGTATAATTACCAACGTTGGCCTTGTTTCAGACCCCTTGCTAGCAGAAAAGTAATACCCGTGCTCCGTAGGAAATGTAAGAACACGCATAGATCAACAAGCAGAATACACCCAAGGCGACCACTGACAGCGGTGTGATGGGCTCCCCTCTTGTCCTTTTTGGGGCACAGGTTTTCCTGCACGTCGTCACCATCTTACCTGGGATTATTTGAATCCTTTTCCCCTCTGATAAGCATGGTTCCTTGTCTTTATAAACTTTTCCCAAATACCTTTTTTTTTTTTTTTTATTAAGTAGCTTTCAAATTACTGTTAAGAAATAGCTTTTTAAAATTTTTTAATGTCTTATTTCTTTATTTATTTACTTACTTTTAAGTTTGTTTCTTTTGAGAGAGACCGAGAGAGCAAACCAGGGAGGGGCAGAGAGAGGGAGAGACAGAGAATCCCAAGCAGGCTTCGCGCTGTGAGCCCAGAGCCCGACACGGGGCTCAGTCTCACAGACCGCGAGATCATGACCTGAGCCGACCCCAAGAGTCAGAGCATTCATTTGAATGTGGACTGCGGGCTCTGCCATCATCGCTCAAATTTCTGATTTTGGTAACGGTGCTCTGGCTTCTGTGACAGCGTGTGGGTTTCCTTATGGGGATACACGCTGCTACAACCTAGTCCGAAGTGTCTCAGAAAAGAAGTGTGTTTGTGGACGTGTGTGTTTATGGCTAGAGACCCAGAATGGCTCAGCAGATGTGGCAAGATGTAAGGAGCAGTGAAGCAGGCGGAGGGCGGACTGGGATTTTTTGTGCAATTCACGTGATTTTCCTGCGACTTTGGTATTAATTCAAAATAGCAAGTTACAGTGATAGGTTTACTTTTTATTATGCAAGTGTTCAAACACGTAGAAAGATTAGTCTAATCAGTCTCAATAAACTCATCACCCAGATTTGACAATTATTGATGCTTTGCCACTTGGCCTTAAAAAATATTTTTTTGGGGGGGCACCTGGGTGGCTCAGTCGGTTGGGCATGCAGCTCGGCGCAGGTCATGATCTTGTGGTTTGTGAGTGTGAGCCCCGTGTTGGGTTCTGTGCTGACGGCTCAGAGCCTGGAACCTGCTTTGGATTCTGTGTCTCGCTCTCTCTCTGCCCCTCTTGCACTCAGTCTCTGTCTCTCTCTCAAAAATAAATAAATATTAACAAAAATTTTAAAATATATATATGTTTAAAAGAGTTTTTTAAAGGTTATTTTATTTTGAGAGAGAGAGAGAGACAGAGAGAGCTGGGGAGGGGCAGAGGGCGGGGAGAGAGAGAGAGAGAATCCTAAGCAGGATCCATGCTGATAGTATAGAGCCCCACACAGGGCTTGATCTCACGAACCACAAGATCATGACCGGACCTGAAATCGAGTCACACACTTAATTGACTGAGGCACCCCCCCCCCGCCCCTGCCGCTGCCCCCAAAATATTTTTTAAGCAAATCAGAGCGATTGTAATGATCTCTACCTTAAATAGTTTGTGTCTCTAAAAAATGAGGCCGTTTTGCCCTGGGCAGCCTCACAGAATTAGCATTGATCATTTAATGTGCCCGTATGTGCCATACGTATTCCACTCTTGCCAGCTGTGCACTGCCCTCGGCCCCCCTGGCATGGAGAGCGGGCTGGCATGGCAGGTGTCGGCAGCGAGGGTCACCCTCCTCTTCCTCTCCAGACTGTCATCACCTCCCCCTTGTGTTTTGGCCCCAGGTTGATGGTCCGGGGCTACCGCCAGCCCCTGGAGAGCGCTGACCTCTGGTCCCTGAATAAGGAGGACACCTCAGAGCAAGTTGTGCCTGTTTTGGTTAAGAACTGGAAGAAGGAGTGTGCCAAGTCCAGAAGGTAAGTGTGAGCCTCTCTGTGACGACCTGACCACCCCTTTCCTGCCGCCTCTCACTGACTTCATGGTCCTGGGCAAAAGCTGCTTTACTCCTCCGAGCCAGTTTTTGCTCCTCTGCAAAATGGGCAAGGGTTGTACCTGTAGCGAAGGCAGTGTGAGTAGGAAAGAAGAGAGAAAAATGGGCATCGAGCAGTGATTGGTTCTGTCGGCTCAGCGGGTGTGTGCCCAGCCGCACTCCCCGAGGCCGCCCCACTTTGCCTGCCTCACTCACAGCATCTGGCCTCCTGGGTGTTCTTGCTGTTCTACGCGTTTTTCCTTCCACGCACCACGCCCATCACTTCCGCGGGTGTTCAGCCAGAGAAGCCCCCATCGAGGGTGCTTTTGACTGTGCTGGATTTAAAACTAAAATAGACGTTAGTTTTTCGATCCGAAGGCGCAGAGGGTTCTGTGTACCCCCTGTCCCTGCACGTGCACAGCTTCTGTCATTATCAGTAGCCCCGACCAGGTGTATGGATGAACCTACACCTGGCACGTCATTGTCATCCCCGAGTCTCTAGTTTGCATTATGGTTCATCCATAGCGTCCTCGATTTTCGATGCTCCGCCCACAGAAGCTGCATGCCATCGCATGACCTCTTTTCTTGCGTTATTTATTAATTTTTATGTTTATTTTTGAGAGAGAGACAGACAGACAGAGCGAGTGGGAGGGGGACAGAGAGAGACGGAGACAGAATCTGAAGCAGGCTTCAGGCCCTGAGCCATCATTATGGAGCCCAACGCAGGGCCTGAACTCATGAGATCATGACCCGAGCCGAAAGTTGAACGTCCCACCGACTGAGCACGCAGACGCCTCTGTTCTCCGGTTATTTTGGGGATCAGGCCAGGGCCTCCCCAGCACATTCTTTAATTTCCTCAAATCTGAGACATGTCAGTTGTATGCTATGTCATTACGTCACGTGTCAACAGAAAAGAAAAATGGCTGTCGTACTAAGGTAGGTCGTTGGCCCTGTGCATCCTGGGTCCAGAGGAGCCGGTTGAGAAGCTGTGAGTGACTTGGGGGCAGCGGCTGGTGGCTGTAGGGGCAGAACAAAAAGCGGCTGTTATCAGTCCTGTGGTTTTTATGCGGTGGGCCTGTCGTTGAGTTGCACTGGCAGACGATGGGGCCAGCCTGGTGTGTTGCATCTGCCCGAGAGCAGTTGGCCCTCCCGGAGAGAAACCCTGGACTTGAGGTCTGGTTCCTCACTCCGTTGCTGGAACACCCAGCGTATAGGTCTTGGGTCAGGCTGGGCTCGTGGGTGGGAATTGGGGACGTTGGTGCCATCGGCCACTAGGACGCCAGCAGAGGACCTTGTGACTCTGAGCTGGTGGCCCGTCCGTGGTGGCCATGGACACGGGAGAAGTCTTCTTAGGAGAGGCGTGTTGAGCGTGAGTCTCCGTGGTGGGTGAGCACGGCGAGACGGGAGGTGTTTTCTGCACATCCTGCTCCTGCTGAGTCTGGTGCCTGTGATCCGCGTGAAGGTTCTCAGGCCCAGCTTCCCTCGCAAGCCCTGGCCAGTGGCATCCTTCGTGATGAGCAGGTTGCTGGAGACGGCGTGGGAGAGGTTGCCAGGGAGGCTCCGCGGAGAGAGGACCGGGCTTCCACAGGAAGCTCTGTCTACCGCCGGTCTGGCCCTTACTGGATTCGTTCAGCATATGTGGTATCTGCTGCTAATGTGTAGTCTTTTCAGACCCTCGGGGTTTGGAGAGGCTGTCCCTCAAGTCCCTTCGTGCCCTCCTCCCCTGTTTTGTACTCAGAGGGCTTTCTGACGGTTCAGTGGGATCAGCATCATCCGATCAGCCCTGTCCTAGGCCTGGGTAAACGGCGGGCAGGTGGAACTGCACAAGTTGTCTTTATTACGTGGGTGCGGCCACAGGCTGGGCGCTCCCATCTTGCCTGGGTGGACGAGGCGAGAGCTGGCGCCTCAGGCTCCATCGTGGGCCACGCCCCAGGGGTGTCCCTGGCTGTCTTCTTACCTTGGCCATTAGGGGATCTCAGCATGGGGGCTCAACGCCCTGGGTCATTGGCAGATGGGTCACTCGCTCTGCTTCCAGAGGCATAAGCCAGATCTGGCACCTGTAACCTCTGTGGAAGTGGTGGGCGATTGTAGAGTCCTGTTCTGAGGTGGGATTTCTTGGTGTGGCCTTTTGTAGCAAGGCCTCTCCATTTCACCAGGGAACAGGATACAGGTGGGAGGGAGAAATTATAGAGGGGCTCCAGCAGACCTTGTGGGGTGATGGATGTGTTCCCAATCTTGGCTTTGCTGACGGTTTCACAGTTGTATGTATCCCTACATGTCAAAAGTGACCAAATTGTATACTCCCGTGTGTGGAGTTTATCATACATCACTTATACTTCAGTAAAGCTAATATATTAAAAAATCAGAGTGTTTAAAGATTGGGTGGCTCAGTTGGTTGAGCTCCCGATTTCGGCTCAGGTCATGATCTCACGTTTCGTGGGTTTGAGCCACGCATCAGGCTCTGTGTTGACAGCTTGGAGCCTGGAGCCTGCTTCGGATTCTGTGTCTCCCTCCTTCTCTGACCGTGCCCCCCCACCCGCGCTCACATTCTGTCTCTGTCTCTTAAAAGTAAATGTAAAAAAAAAAATTAAAAAAAGATGGGGTTGAGTATTTTGCTCAATTGTCTTTGTTTTATAAAGAAATGCAACAGAAAATACAAAAAAACAAAACAAAGCACCAACATACACATGTTGAAAAGTGGTTCTCAACCTTTCAGACTCATTGCTGCCTTGAGACCAAAAGATTTTCTAACACTGATACAGTTACTTTAAGGTAATATATCAGTAGAAATAACCCACCCACATATCTAAAATTTTTTAAGTTAGCAAAATGCTTTTATTAGACTTTGTTTTTTATTTTATTTTTTTAATGTTTATTTTTGAGAGAGAGAGACAGAGTGTGAGCGGGGGCAGGGGCATAGAGAGAGTGGGAAATAGAACTTGAAGCAGGCTCTAGGCTCTGAGCCGTCAGCACAGAGCTCGACGGGGGTGGAGATCATGACCTGAGCCGAAGTAGGATCCTTAACGAGACTGAGCCACCCAGGCGCCCCTCTCCCTCAACACGAAAGAAAAACTGAAGTACAAGCGATTTGTAGTGAGACGGCATGTATTTCGGTGAGTGAATGCTCAGGTGCACGCTGGAAGAACAGAATGGAGAGTCACCGCTTGTCCCACTGTGGAGGATGCTCTGTGACAGCTGCTGTTCCCTCCACATCTCCAGAACCCTTGTCAGTCACCCTCACAGAAGTCGTTTTGCAGAGTGGTGGCCAACACTTGACAAAGTTCTGAACAAAATGCAATGTTCCCTTAATGTCAACAATAGTTGCGTTCCTGAAAAAATTTGAGGTCTATTTAAATTTGCAAACAAAACCCCACAAAACACTACACAATACGGATTTATGTCTAAAAACAGAGTTAGATTCCGGGCTTAGGTCATTTCAGGCAAGCTCTTCAAGCTACATGCATTGCTGTTGGGACCTTTTTTTGGGGGGTGGCGGGGGACTGAAGTTCTGGCCGTCACAGAAGCTCTGCTGTCTGGCTCCATCATTGACCGAGAATGTGGAATTTGCAAAACAACCCTCTCTTTGAGAACCTCTGGTTTTGAGGAACCGAAAGCATTCAAGAAACAGAAAACTAGAAAAGGGTAGGAGAGTAGGGGAAAGATCTTGAGTCATTTGGATTCGTAAACAACGCATTTAAAATCCTGCCCGGGCTACAAGTTTCGAGGGGCTGTGCAGGTGTTTCCCACGCCCATTGTGGTTTCCAGAACTACTGTTCTGTGTAATGTTCCCTCTGAGTGAGTATGTGCGTTAGGTTTGTAAAGTCTGTTCCCTGTGGTTGTAGGTAGTCTGCCCTTCTGTGTTCGATTGGGAATTTATTACAGGTCAAACACCATGTTCAGAGTACATCCAGAAAATGTGCAAATTTTAATCGAGCTAAGACTTTTTTTTTTCTTTTACTGTTTATTTTTGAGAGAGAGTGAGCGAGCACGAGCGGGGGGACAGGGAGACCCAGAATCCGAGGCAGCCTCCAGGCTCTGAGCGGTCAGTACAGAGCCCGACATGGGGCTTGAACTCACGAACTGCCAGATCATGGCTTGATCTGAAGTCCGATGCTTAACCGACGGAGCCACCCAGGAGCTCTGAGCTGAGACTGTTTTAAGCTTGAGATGTGGCCTCTCCTGAAGCCTTGAAGATGAACGACAAAGTCATCTGTAGCTCCTCATTGCTCTTTGGCTGATTCCAGCCCTGGTGAGGCCACTTGCTCCCTGTCCCGTTCAGATTACCCTGAAGTTCTTGGTGTTCTGGGAAGGGCTGCCAAACCTCATTTCAAATCCTTAGCTCCAGGCCTTGCCCATCCTCTTCTCCCCATTCTCTCATCCTGCGTGTCTGTGCTTTGACGTCACCTCCGGGAAGCCCCCCGTGATAGCACCCCTCACACAGTCTTGAGAAGTCATGATTGCTAATCCTTTTTTTCTCATGAGGCTCTGTGGGGCTGTCTCCAGTGGTTGGCCCAGAGCCATGTGCTTAGTTCATTAGTGGACGAGTGACTGATGGGCATCTCTGCCTACATTGGAATCCGATCCACAGAGAAAGTCCCCTTTTCTTCTGAGCCTTCAGCCTCTCTACCCCTTTCGGTTCCCCTGCTCCTGGGCAGTTAGTTTTCTCCTGACTCAGACCTTTCCCTTCCAACTTTCCTTTCCCCTCCCAGCCTGAGCTCACAGATGCCCTACTTGCTTCCTCTCCCCTCCTGGAGTGCCCTCTTCCTCTGTGGGCCTCTTTTTTTGCTGGATAGTTTTCTTTCTTGGCTTGGCCTTAGCTGATCGTTCCCACTGTTCTTGACCTCTCCCACCCGGGCCTGAGCTTTCCTCCTTCTCTGCCTGCCCAAGACCTTCTCCCTGACCCTTTGGCACCTGTCTCTTGGCCACCGGAAACAGCCCTGGGTCACCAGCAGCCCACACAGGCCCAGGGTCAGGTCCTGCTTAGGAAGTGGTGCAGAGAATGAACGGAGAGGGCCGAGCCACTCCCTTCCTGTCTGCCTGGCCCTCTTGTCTTCCTTGCCAAGGACGCCTGCGTGTGCTGAAGAAAATTCTGAAACTCCTAGCTGGAATCCCAGCTTTGGGGGCGGTCAGTAAAGGGAGCAGGAAAGACCTTGTGTGGTGACATTGACAATGGGGTTGGTGGAGGGATATATCTCCCCTGCAAAGATGTCCGTGTCCTGATCCCCAAACCCTTACACGGCAAAGGGACTTGGCCTGATAGGATCCCCAGGGTCCTTGTTTGTAAAAGGAGGCAGGATGTCAGGGAGAGAGAAAGAGAGGATGGTCTGTAGTTGGCTTTGAATTGGAGGAAGGGGCCACAAAACAGAGAAATCTAGGTGGCTTCTGGAAGCTGGAAAAGACCAGGCAACAGATTCTCCCCTAGAGCCTCTAGAAGGAAGGCCACCTTGTGGGCCCCCTTTAGATTTCTGACCCCCTCCCCCCGAACCACGAGGCAATAAGTTTGTATTGCGTTAAGCCACGAAGTTTGTGGTAGTTGGTTACAGCAGTTTCGCCAGAGTTTAGATTTTATTCTGGGTGCAGTGGAAGCTATCAGGGGATGATCTGTTATCAGGAAGGTCCCTCTGGCTGCCGTGAAGGACTTGTTGTCAGGGAACGAGAGTGGGAGGAAATGAGCGAGCGGGGAGGAGGCCCGGGGGGTGGTCGCTTGCATGGGCCAGAGGCCGCGCACATGGAAAGGGTGGATGGATGTCAGCACACATCCCAGGAGGGAGATGGACAGGACCCGCTCCTGGTCAACCCAGGAGCATGGAGGAGATTCCCATGTTTCTGGCCCTTTCCTGGGGGTTGGGGGGTGGGGAGCCAGCCAGGGCGGGTTGGAGGGCTGTGGTCTCCAGCAGAAAGCGGCAGGTGGTATAAATGGTCAGATGTGGCATAGATGTGACAAATGCGAGTCCTCTGCAGTTGAGCGCTGTTCAGTGTCCTCCCGCCATGGAAGGAGTTCGCACATCACAAAAGTTGGGTTGGGTGAGGATGCGCCGTGTATTTCGGGGTGGAGCCCACATCGGGCCATTGGAATGTGTTGCCTTGACTGTAATTTGGGAGATGGGAGCTGGGGTGTGTGTCTCTCACTGCATAACGTATTCCCCCGTGCGTAGCAGCTGAAGATGAGAGCCAGTGTTTACGATCTCACACGGCTTCTCTGGGTTAAGGATCCAGTCGTGGGCTAGCAGGCTGGTCCCGGCCCAGCGTCTCTGGAGGGTGTGCTGGGCAGGTCAGCTGGGGCCACATCATCTGAAGGCTTGACTGGGGCCGTAGGCCCTGCTTTTAGTTTGCGTGTGGCTGGCAAGTCAGTGCTGGCTCTTTGCAGCGTCTCACCATGGGATTTCCCCCCATTTCCTCCTCCTGTGGTACTTGGCTTTGCCCAGAGTGAACGATGCAAGAGAGGGCAAGACGGAAGCCACTGTGTTTGCCATGACCTGATCTCGGAAGTGGCCCACACTCTACTGTTTCTGCTCTGTCCTCTTCCGAGTAGGAGGGGACTCCACCGGGGTGAATGTGAGGGTTCCAGTTTCTCACATGGTTGCAGACACTCGGCATTATATGACTTTCTGATGATCCACCGAGTGGACGTGAAGTCATATCTTTACTGTGGTTTTGGTTTGTGTTACCCGGATGACTAATGACATCAAGCAGCAATTCATGGTCATTTGCGTATCTTCTTTGTCTTTTTTGAAATTGGGTTTTTTTTTCCTTATTGTGTAGTAAGAGTTCTTTACATGCTCTGGTTACAAGTCCTTTATCAGATATTCCCTTTGCAAGTATTTTCTCTCATTCTGTGGGTTGTCTCTTCACTTTTCCTAATTGTGTCTTTTGAAGTACAACATGTTTTTGAATGTTTTATTTGAGAGGGAGAGAGAGTGTGTGCGCACGCAAGCGAGCATGCACGAGCGCGGGAGGGGCAGAGGAAGAGGGAGAGAAAGAATTGTAAGCAGGCTCTGTGCCCATTGTGGAGCTCGATTTCACGGCCCGGAGAGCATGACCCGAGCCAAAATCAAGAGTCAGACGCTCAACCAACCGAGCCACCCAGGCACCCCCGACGTGTTTAATTTTGACCACATCTAGTTTATCTTTTTTTTTCTTTTGCGTCTGCGTTTTGTGTCATTTTTCAGAATTCATTGCCAAATACAAGGTCATGAAGATTTTCACGTTTCCTTCTAAGAATTTTTATAGTCGTAGCTCTGTGTTTAGGTCTTTTTGACCCATTTCGAGTTGATTTTTGTACGTGGAATGAACTAAGGGTCCACCTTCCTTCTTTTGCGTGGCTGTCTGGTTTCTCTGTGCCACCGGTTGAAAAGATTATTCTTTTTCCGTTGAACAGTCTTGACACTGTGGATACCCTAAATCAGTCAGGTTTATTTCTGGTTCCACTGATAATGTGTGTGTCTGTGGCTCTGTGTGTGTGTGTGTGTGTGTGTGTGTGTGTGTGTGTGTGTGTTTATGCCTATCTTGATTAAGTTTTGAAATCGGGAAGTGTGCATTCTCCAATTTTGATTTCCTTTTTAAAGATTGTTTTGGCTGCCCTCGGTCCCTCAAGTTTTATATGAATTTTAGAATCTGCTTGTCATTCAACTTGGATTCTGATCACAGATTGCATAGAATCTGTACACCATGGTGGGGCTGGCACTTTTCAGTGCCTTTCACGTATATGAACACACTGAATTTTCCCAACAGCCCTGTGGGGTAGACTCGTCCCTGTGTCCCCATTTAGCAGATGAGGAAACTAAGGCCTAAAATGGTGAAGCCACTTGACCTCGAAGTCACAGAGCTGGCTGGCCAGGAGCCTGCGTCTGTACTCCTAACCAGCATGTTCGGCCGCCTTTCTGCCGTGACTGGTTTTCTTTGGCTGGGCCCCCCTGAGGGGGTGGGGTGCCCTGGCCCTCCCCCCGGCTGGCCGGCCCGGTTTGAGGAAGACCCCAGAACCGCTCCACTCTCCTTGTGTTCCAGGCAGCAGGCGAAGATCACGTACTCCTCCAAGGATCCCGCCAAGCCGAAAGGGAGCTCCCAGGTGGACGTGAACGAGGAGGCCGAGGTTTTGATTGTCAAGTCCCCTCAGAAGGGCCGGGAGCCGTCTCTGTTCAAGGTGTTATACAAGACCTTCGGGCCCTACTTCCTCATGAGCTTCTTATTCAAGGCCCTCCATGACTTGATGATGTTTGCCGGCCCGGAGATCTTAAAGTAAGACCCCTTCCCTGCCCGCTGCATGAGTCTTTGTGTCCTTGACCTTTCACTTACGGTACCCTAACCTCTGCCTCGGGGTCACGTGGCCTGGCCCCGTGGGCTTGAAGCCAAGCCTCTCTGCCCTGACCCGCTTTGCCTCATGCTTTGCTCGAACACCATCCAAGCTGAGGCCACTTTGGTTGCAAAGAACAGAAATGTACCAGGCTTCCCTGAAGCCGAAAGAGGCAAGAGAGAGGATTATCTGTGGAAACCAAGGACAGGAGAATGAGCCAGATCGTGTCGCACTGCAGCCTGAAAGCAGAAAGTCAGAGAGGAGCTCCCTTCTCTGCTCTCTCTGTTTACCTGTCTCTTTCTGTCTCTTTGGGGCCACATGTCCCTTCTCTCCACTTTGCTAACGCCACCTCTCACAGTCTCTGTTTGGTTACCTCTGGGTGACTGTCCGGTGATGAGACTGGAGGCGCGGGGCGCGCCGTCGGGAGCAGGTTCAGGCCACCCGCGCAGCCCCGTCACCGCCCCGGGTCTGTTTTCCCAAGCGTAACACTAAGGAATAGCGCCCGCCCCGCCCACCCCAGACACGGTCGAGACGCTGAAGTCCCTGCCGCGTGCGTCACGGTCACGGCATTCTTTCCTCGCCCCGCAGATTGCTCATCAACTTCGTGAACGATACGACGGCCCCGGACTGGCAGGGCTACTTCTACACGGCGCTGCTGTTCGTCAGCGCCTGCCTCCAGACCCTCGTGCTGCACCAGTATTTCCACATCTGCTTCGTCAGCGGCATGAGGATCAAGACGGCCGTCATCGGGGCCGTCTACCGGAAGGTGGGTGAGCCCAGGCCTGGCGCACGGGCCCGGCCGTGGCCCCAGACCCTGTGGGGGGGGGGGGGCTTGGCCGGGTCACCCCCCTCCCCCGCCCCTCCCGGGACCACCGTGGGGATGCCGAGCCCGGCTTCTGGAGCGGCAGCGTGAGGGTGGCCCCCGTGACCGCACGTGGCGGGGACTGACCCATCAGGCGCGAGACCTTAGCAAAGCTGATTTCAGCCGTGGGTGTGGGGCATCTGCTTGGGGCCGTGTCGGCCACGGGCAGCTGGATTTCTTGTTATTTTTCAAATTTTTTAAGTTTACTTACTTATTTTGCGAGAGACCGAAGCAACGTGGGCAGGGGAGGGGCAGAGAGAGAGAAGCTGGAGCAGGCCCCGCACTGTCAGCACAGAGCCTGACGCGGAGCTTGAACTCACGAAACAGTGAGGTTGTGACCTGAGCCGAAACCCAGGGTCGGACGCTTAACCGACTGAGCCACCTAGGCGCCTGGGTAGCTGAATTTCTTAGGTGGCACCTGACGTGGGAAAATCCGGGTTCACATCCTGTCTCTGCTGTTGATACTCTGGGCTGCTTCTAACTCTCCATTTGCACTGAGCCGGACGTCCTTTCCCTCAATAGTGGAATACATAGTATTTGTACACAGCCAGCTGGTTTTGTTTTTGTTTTTTAATTAATTTATTGTGAGAGAGAGAGCGAGACAGTGCGCGCAAGTTGGGGAAGGACAGAGAAGAGAGAGAGAATTCCAAGCAGGCTGTGTGGTGTCAGCACAGAGCCCGATGCGGGGCTCAAACCCAGGAACTCTGAGATCATGAGCCGAGCTGATCTTGGATGCTTAACCGACAGAGCCACCCAGGCGCCCCTGTCCATCCGGCTTTAAAGGAATTTCTTGGTTCCTTCATTTCTTAGCTTCTGGGGCAAAGACACTGCTTGAGCAGGGTTGACAAGAGACTGCCTAGGAGATAGTCAGGAACCGTGGACTGGTCATTGGTTCTCAGCCCTGTCTGTAAGTTAGCCTCCCCTGGAGACCTTCCAAAACCCCTGGTCCCCAGGCTACACCACCGACAAACAAAATCAGGATCTCTGATTTTGGGTGGGACCTGGGCACCGATGTTTTTTAAACTCCCCAGGTAATAGTGTGAAACCATGTTTGAGAACCAGGATAATTTTATCCTTCCAGGAGATGTTTGGAAAATGTATGGAGACAATTTTAGTTCTCTTAACTGGGAGTGGGGCCATCTAGTGGGTAGAGGCCATCTAGGGGATGTGGTGAACACCCCACAATGCACAGGTTGGTCCCACAGAGAAATACCCACCTTCAAATGTCAGTAATGCTAGAGTTGAGAAGCCCTGACCTTGACCTTGCTCCTTGAGTGTTCTCTGCAGACGAACGGCATCTGCATCATCTGGGAGCTTGTAAGAAATGCATAGCCCCAGGTTCCATCGCCGTCCTACCAAATCTGAAACCACACTGTAAGTAACTTCGCGGGTGATGTGTGTGCACCCTGAAGTGTGTGAGGCCCTGGCTGAGGCCGTCTCTGGGGTCCTTTCCCTGTTGAAGAAGTCAGGGCGAGGCAGTGAATGTCATTGGTAACAGCGGGAGCTTTGCGATGGGACAGACGAGGCAGCGAGGGAGGAGAAAAGAGAGTGGGCTTTCCACTCTTGAGCTGTCTTCTTCCTTCGCAGGGGCCTGGAGGGAGAGCCCCGGGCCGTCTCCTGCCTCACTCACCTTCTTCCTCTCTCCTTTGTCCTGCAGGCCTTGGTGATCACCAATTCAGCCAGAAGGTCTTCCACGGTCGGGGAGATCGTCAACCTCATGTCCGTGGATGCCCAGAGGTTCATGGACCTGGCCACGTACATCAACATGATCTGGTCAGCCCCTCTGCAGGTCGTCCTTGCCCTCTACCTCCTGTGGCTGGTGTGTGTTTGACGTCATTCGCGTGGTGCAGAGGGAGGGACCGCCACATGCGGGCGGCGGGGGGTGAGGGAGTGGGTGTTCGTAAGCAGAACCTCTGTATTCCTTGCCGTCATTCACGTTTTACTTTCTGGCCTGTTAGACAATTGCTGGATATCTTATCCCTTCCCTTGGTCCCTGGGTTTATGCCCTTTTTTTTGGTGGCATGACAGTTGTTTGCGTTTGTCTTTTTTTGACAGTGCATGTAATTAGTAACCTCACAACATACACACCGTATGTCTCCTACTGTATCCTCCCAAACACTAACCAGATTCCCTTTATTCACTAGTCCTAAACTGTGTTGGTCAAGATTCTCTGAGTTGCAAGGAAGAGAAATGGATTTTAAAACAATCTAGGCAAATAAAGGGAATTTTGTGGGTGCATGCAACTGCAGAGTGCAGAGTACAGAGTATGGCTTCAGGCATGGATGGATCCAGGAGTTCAAGCAGTGCCATGAGGACTCAGTCTCACCCTTCTCATCATTTCTTGGCCCTATTTCCCTTTGAGTTGACTTTGTTCCCAATGGCTTCTATCCCTTTAGGTTTATATCCTCTTTACTGAGACTGGTGTCCAAGAAAAGAGAATATTGCATTCCTCCTTGCCTCAGCCAGACTTTCACGGAGCACTTAAGTTGATGAGATGCTCGTAGCCTAACCTCTGCCTTATTCTTTGTCACCTCTGAGCCTTTTCTTCTGCCAGGAGTTCCTTTCCCTCTTTCTTTACTAAGAATGAAGTGCTACCCATCGTTTAAGGCTGTGGCAACTGCCACATCCACTAATTCCTTGTTTTTTCTTTAAATTGTTTTAATGTTTATTTTATTTTTGAGAGCGAGAAAGAGAGTGAGCAGGGGAGGGGCAGAGAGAGAGGGAGACACAGAATCTGAAGCAGGCTCCGAGCTGTCAGCACAGAGCCCGACATGGGGCTTGAACTCAAGAACCGTGAGATGGTGACCTGAGTTGAAGTTAGCGCTTTACCGACTGAGCCACCCAGGCACCCCACCACTAATTCCTTTTCGTTCTCAATGAGACAAATTTCTTCCTTTTTTTTAAACCCACTAACTTTAGTATAGGAGTTCCTGTGATGTTACATTCTGGAATAGTCTTTTGCTGCTCAGTGTACCAGCCCCTCCTCTCCTGATAAATGTGTCGGTTCCTCACGGGCTCGGTGTCCTTCTTGTCTTATTTTTTATTTCCCACGACTGCAGTCCCGCAGGGCCCTGGTGCCTAATAGGTGCACAGTGAATTATCTGTTGATATGACTATAGTTTACATTTTTTTGGTCTGTTTATGGAGCAGATGAGGGATTATAAATTGTTTCTGGTAATGAAACTTAGAAGTAAATACCAGAATCTAAATGTCTTTTTGGGCCTACATCTTGGGGTATCCACCTCCCCAGAAAGCACAGCCCTGGGTGAAATATTTCTGGAGCACATCTTTTAGAATTGGCCTTCAGGGCTGATGTATAAAGCATGAGGAAAATGGTTTTGTTTCAGATGAGGGTTGCTGAATGTGCTATTGACATTTGGGGTCAGATCATTTTTTCTTGTTGGGGGACTAGCCTGTGGACTGCAGGATCGTCGAGCAGAGTCCCTGGCCTCTTTGCACAAAATACCAGCAACACAAATCTCTCTCCGCACCCCCACCCCCACCCCCACCCCCATGCCGCTTGGGACCCAGATGTCTCCAGACATGGCCTCATGCGTCCTGCGAAAAATTCTTCCCTGGTTGGGAGTTACTAGTTTAGATAGAAAATAGGCTTTCTCGGGGTGCCTGGGTGGCTCAGTTGGTTGAGCGTCTGACTTCGGCTCAGGTCCTGGTCTCACAGTTCGTGAGTTCGAGCCCCACGCCAGTCTCTGTGCTGACAGCTTGGAGCCTGGAGCCTGCTTCAAATCGTGTTTCCCTCTCTCTCTGTCCCTCCCCTGCTCCCTCTCTGTGTCTTTTTCTCTCAAAAACAAAAAGACATTAAAAAAGAAAGAAAATAGGATTTCTGTTTGACCATCACAAACACTGTATAGGATGGCGATGCTGGAGTGAGCTCAGGAGTCAGACTGCTTGGGTTCAAACCTTGCCTCTTCCCTCGTCAGCTTTGTGACCTTGTTACTTGATGTCACTCCTTTGGAAATTGGTGATGGTAACGGTACCTCTCATCACAGGGATGTTGGGACCAAGGAATGAATCAAAGCAGGTGATGTTCAGAGAACAGTGCATGGTATATAGATCTTCCCAGTGTCTTTTCATTACTATTTGCTGTCAGAGTTCATTCTGAATGCTTTAGGTGGGTGGTAGAAATCACCTTCATTCTCAAAGGTGGATTAATCGTCCCTGGACGGAGATACGTCACAAACCGTCTGGAGCAACAGCAGCATTTTTGGGGAGACGAGGACTGTTGTCCCTGAGGGTGATTACCTGGAAGAGACTAACGCTCCTGGTTTTCCAAATGCCGAATGGGGAAAAAAAAAATCACATTACCCTCTGGCTCCATCTGTGTGTAGCTGCTGAGTACCTGTGCACTGGGCCAGTTTCTCAAGCTGTTTCTTTTTAGGTGTAGAAGGTACAAGATATAGATCTGTGGCTTATCCTGACCTCTTAATCTGGCTGTCGATCCCTTATCTGCAGTTGTGATAACAGAACAAGTCTGCCGCCTCTTATCTACAAATCCCCAAATCCAGAAGCTCTGAAAGTTTTCCTTAATTCATTTGGTGCCAAAACCTTACTTGAACTGATGTGAAGTACTTATGATCTTGATGATTTCTCTCAGTGTGAATACTCTGGTTTTGATGCTGGAAAAATCACTGTATTTGATTATGGAGGGCACTGCCAGGGCCCCATTGGGCGCGTAGGGACACGCGGGTGTCAGCGGTCCCCAAGACCCCGCCAGGCTGACGAGTTGCTAGGAAGACTCATGGCCCTGATTTGTACAGCAGGATGAGCAGAGGGTAAAGGCACAGGGGGCGGAGTCTGGGGGAAGCAGGTACCAGACTTCCAAGAGTCCTCTCCCATCAGAGTTACACAGGATGCACTCGGTTCCCCAGCAGCAAGTTCTGACAACGTGTGAAATGTTACCAGCCAGGGAGGCTTGACAGAGACCGGACGCCCAGGGTTTTTATCGGGGGCTGGTCACATAGGCAGATTCTGCCTGGCACAAACTTGCAGACTCCCAGAAGGCAAAGCGGGGGTGGGGGGGGGTTCTGCGTAAACCATATCGTTTGTGCAAAGAGTTGAGGCCCGGTGAGCCCCTCTTACCAGTCCTGAGAATGGTGGTAACCCTCCCCAGATCCAAGCTCCCAGATCCCAGCCAGGGGCCAAATTTGTAAAGCAGGCCTTTAAACAAGATAAAGCGCCAGGCTAGCTGTGTTAACTCTTTTCTGCTTAACGTCTTGATACCTTCCTAAAGTTCTAATTTGCGAAGCTCCTCTGGACCCCAGGGCTTCAGATAAGGGGCCTGCATGCTCTTAAAGGGGTTGTGGGACCCCAAGAGATGCTCAGGAATAAATCTGCAAGTTCCTAACAGCCCGTCACAGCGTAAAAGTGACACAGTTGTCCTGAATGCCCTGGGCCAGGTCTGCGGAGTCCCTGCGGAGGGGCTCAGCTGGAAAGCCCTGTGTTGAAGGCCTGTGTTCTCTTTGTCCTTAGAATCTGGGCCCCTCCGTCCTGGCCGGAGTGGCTGTGATGATCTTCATGGTTCCCGTCAACGCCGTGATGGCCATGAAAACCAAGACCTACCAGGTAGGGTGTCTGCCTCCATAGGGCCCCACGCGGAGGCCCTTGCTGGACGCCTTTCCATTTGGATTTTAGCCGAGTTCTTTCTGCCCAGGCCTAGGGGTTCTCAGCCTCACATCCCTGCTGGGATCCCCCCGAGGAGTTCTCGCAAATGCTGATGCCTGGGCTCTTTTTCCGGGATTCTGATTCACCTAATATGGATAAGGCCTGGGCATCAGTTCTTGAAGCTTCCAGAGTGATGACAACGGACAGCCAAGGTTGAGAACTCCCAAAATAGTTAGGCCTCACAGGCCAGTGACGAAAATCACATCTGTGGGCCTCCGAGAATTCCTTATTTCCCACGGAATTTAGTCATTTATGTGTTTCATGTGCATTTTCAAGAGTGGAATAAAAACTAACCTTGACTCCCCGCCGCCCATTACCTTATGCGAGCCTTTCCACCGTTTTCAGAAATGCTTTTTAACTTTTAAAACATCCCAATAACAACAGCGCATGCCTTTTCCTTATAAAAGATGTTCAGTGGATACACAGTGTGTAGATTAAAAGGGAATGCCCCCTTCCCTGCTCCCTCAGTCCCAGTGAACACACCAAAGCAAAGCTTTCTAGAACTTTACATGTATTTATAGAGAGATCTCATTATCTAGTTGGGTCTGGCGTGTTTTTTGTGTGTGTGTTTTGTGCTGTTACCATCATATATGTTTATACACCGACCCATCTGGCCAGCACGGTTTTAGCATTTGTCACCGCGTCTCAGGGATCCTTCTGTGGCGTAGTGTGGAGCCTGACTTCATTCTCTTGAGCTGGTGTGAGATGGTCCGAAACAGAGAGGGGTCGAGGTTTTTGTCTCTCTTCCCCTCTTGATGGCTATTTATGATGTGCCTGTGGGATTTCAGCTGAGAGCGCTTGGCTACGCCGATGACGCAGTAGGAGATGCATCCCAGGACCTGGGTCCTGTTGGAAAGAGGCCTCAGCAGGTGTGGGTGGGAATAGGTTAAACAGTGAAGAGGCTCTGTCCCTATGGCCCTCCCTTGAAACCACTTCAGTCACTGGCTTCTGCTTCACGTGACAAAAAAAAGAAGCGTCCTCATCTGTGACCCAGGAGTGACCACGGCACTCGTGATAGGTTCTTGAGAGCCTTCAATGACTAGGTGCATGTCAGATGTATCTGGAAAATGCCAGATGGTATTAGCAGCATTTAACAGTGGTATGGCCCAGTAAAGAAGCTAAAAAAATGGAGCAGAAAATAAGTCCAGCATCATTATCTGTCTTGTGTTTGGATTAGCAGAGTAGGACCCCTGCCTTTCTTCTTCCCTGGACACCTGCTTCGCAAATCGAAATCTAATTGGTGTCTCTATGTCCAGCGGAAGGGATCCAAAGCAGTTTTTTCTCTGGTGTAAAAGAGAGTATCATTCATAAGGATTGCAGGGTCGATTCCCCACCCTTCTGGGACAGGATGGCCTGGGATGGCCTGGGGCCAGGGCCAGGGCCAGAAGTGAGCCCCTTGCTGTGGTGTTGATTGCTCCTGTCTCTCCAAAGGTGGCCCACATGAAGAGCAAAGACAATCGGATTAAGCTGATGAATGAGATTCTCAATGGGATCAAAGTGCTAAAGCTGTACGCGTGGGAACTGGCCTTCAAAGACAAGGTGCTGGCCATCAGGCAGGAGGAGCTGAAGGTGCTGAAGAAATCGGCCTACCTGGCAGCCGTGGGGACCTTCACCTGGGTCTGCACACCTTTCCTGGTGAGTGAGGCCAACCTGCTCCCGGCCCCCCTCGCTTTATGTTTTGTTGTGTTTGCAAACCTACATATTTTTAAAAGGTCATGAGTTAGCAGGGCCCTCTCCTCCCACTCCCTTCACGAAGTGCTCCCTCCCCACAAATTTATGTTACTCAACAGCACTCAGTAGCTTCCAGCCCAGGGACACTCCAAAGTAGCCAGTTCCGGAACCGCTTGCTGGGCTCACGAGATAAGAAATTTGTGCCACAATGTCAGTCAGGCTCCCTGCTTCCTTCCCCGGGAGCGTCTTCCTAAGAAAGCAGACCAGCTGAACCCAGCGGTGTTCTCGGTGCCACATTTGGGCTACGTTACAGTGTCAGCTTCTGATCTCTTGCTGGCTGCTCGCAAATCGTGGAGGTGGCAGAGCCAGACGCACTGCACAGTGTCCTTGTTTACTGTCTGTCTGTCTCCACTAGAATGTCAGCCCCGGGAAGGCAGGGACTGTGTCTTCTCTGTTTATTGCTACACCCTCAGTGCATACAATAGTGCATAGTAGGTGCTCAACACATACTGGTCGTTCTCTGTAAAAACAACAACAGGTGAAACGATTCAGAAAGTCCGAAGGTGAAAATACGTTGTATTCCCTTCCGTCTGTCCCTTTCCTCCAAAGCGACAGTTTCATGTATCTTTTTAGAAAAATATTTGTGGATGTAGTTGGTAAAAAAAAAAAATATTCTTAATATATTCAAATAGACTCATACATACTTAGCGTTCTATACCTCTTTTGTACTTTGAGACGTGACCCTTTCGTGCATTCACATCTGCTGCATCTGTTTTGTTTATTTATTTTGGAAGAGAGAGCGCACATGAACAGGGGAGGGGCAGAGTGGGAGGGCGGGAGGGGGTGGGAATCCCAAGCAGGCTCTACACTGTCAGCACAGAGCCCGATGTAGGGCTTAAACTGATGTACTGTGTGATCATGACCTGAGCTGAAATCGAGAGTCGGACGCGTAACCGATGGAGCCACCCAGGCGCCCTGCTTCATCTGTTGTAATGAAGCGTGGATGTTCAGTGGGTGAATGTGCCAGAGTGGACTTAAGCGACCTCTTACTGCTGACTTTTTAGGATAGTCCCTGTTCTTTGCTGTTATGATCCGTGTTGCATTGAGTGTTCCGATATGCAAGTCTTGAATCCTTTAATGGGTCTTTCCCTTGCTGGTCAACTTTGAAAGTTTAAAGACAAAGCTTCTACGTCCAGGCCACGAGACCATATAAAGATGGGCTGTGGAAACCCCTTAGGCACAGTGCACTGTTACGAATAGTTAAGAATAGGGGCGCCTGGGTGGCTCAGTCGGTGGAGCGTCCGACTTTGGCTCAGGTCATGATCTCACGGTTCATGAGTTTGAGCCCCGCGTCGGGCTCAGGGCTGACGGCTCAGAGCCTGGAGCCTGTTTCTGATTCTGTGTCTCCTTCTCTCTCTGCCCCTCCCCCACTCACACTCTGTCTTTCTCTATCAAAAATAAACACTAAAAAAAAAAAAAAAAAGAATAGGGGCACCTGGGTGGTTTAGTGGGTTGAGTGTCTGACTTCAGCGGAGGTCATGATCTCCCCATTTCATGAGTTTGAGCCCCACATCTGGCTCTGTGCTGACAGTGCAGAGCCTGCTTGGGATTCTTTCTCCCTCTCTCTCTGCCTCTCCCCCACTCACACTGTCTCTGTCTCTCTCAAAATAAATAAACTTAAAAAATATATAGTTAAGAATCATGCCCCCGGGTTCATTTTTTTGTGTCTTTATATTTTTAATTATATCATGATTATTTTAATGCTGTCCTAACAATGACTGTTATTTCTCAGCCCTGTTGGCGAATATATGTTCTGTTGGGAGGTTTCTGTGAACTGCAGTCACACGTTTTCATAAATGGGAAGCTTTTCTATTACAGTATTATCAGCTTCATTCGAGTCACAGGTGGAATGTTTAAGGAAAGTCTTGCATTTTCAGGGTGTGTCACAGTGTGTTCCTTCTGACGCTGGGTTTTTCATCAGGCTCGACTTCATGTCTCCCAGAGTCTGAACTCGCCCAGGAGGCAGGGGGGTGGAAAGCAGTGAGGATCCAACTCGAGCCCACATCAGAATCACCTGGGAGGCTTGTTGAAACAAGACCCAGTAGGTCTGGGTGGGGCTTGAGTATTTGCATTGCTGACAGGTTCCCTGGCGTTACCGATTGCCCTTCGTTGGGGTCCACACTTTGAGGAGTGGAGTAGATGCCCACTGTTGACAGTGTGGTCCGAGGCCCAGTAGCATCAGCATCGCCAAGTCGCTTATTAGAAATGGAGACTCAGGCCCTACTGCAGACCGGCCTAAAACAGGATCTGAATTTACTGAACACCTCCTCCCCGCACCCAGGTGGTGGGTACGCACATTGAAGTTTGAGAAACGCTGGCAAAGAGCAGAAGTGAGCAAACCTTTTCTACAAAGGAGCAGTCCGTAAACGTAGACATTCTGAGCCAGCCAGCATCTGCCCCAACTCTTGTCTGCCAGTGTGGCCGTGCATAATACCTCCATAAACGGACGTGGCTGTGTTCCTGTAAAAATGTATTTATAGACCCTGAGATTTGAATTTCATGTCATCTTCCTGGGTCATAAAATACTATTATTTTGATATTAAAAAAAAAATGAATCGTGTAAAATGGTTTAAGCGCGTGGGCCAGACAAAAACAGGTGTGGAACCCTGGCTTGGGGTCTGGATGCCTGCTGAATTTTACTGCCAGCTCACGGTGTGCCCTGAGGCCGGTCAGTCTACCTCCCTGCCTCTGGGTTTTTGCAAAAGAAATACGAAGGGGTTAGGCCACAGGGCTTGTCACGTGTGGGCCCCTGCCCGCCCCCCGCTCCCATGCCCACCCTGGACATCCCCAGCCAGTCATGGGGTTCTCTCCCAGGCGGCCCGCCAGGTGATTGCTGTCAGCTGACTACAGTTGGCACACGAAGTGACATCTTTTAGCTGTTCTGGGACTCCGAGTTCTGTTCGATCCTTTCTGGCTCACATGCACCAGCCTTCTGGGCTAGAAGGTTCTGCCAGCTCATTCTTTCAGAACACTCCTGTCTCCCTAACTTTCTCCAGGTCTCTGACGGCTTTCTTTGGTTTTTAGAAGTAAAAAGTATTCGAAGACTGGATGGTGGTTATGTAGGGTGTGCTTTTGATTATTTTTCCTTTAAACTGTTAAATAGTTTCTGTGTGTTTGTAACTATTAAATATTCTGCTTTGCACAGGTGATACTCATTTTTTTTAATTTTAGTTTTGCCTGTTTTGAGAGAGAGAGAAAGAATGCAAGCAGGGGAGGGGCAGAGAGGGAGGGAGACAGAATCCCAAGCAGGCTCTGTGCTGTCAGCTCGAACCACGACATCATCACTGAGCCAAAATCAAGAGTTGGACGTGGGGCCCCTAGGTGGCTCAGTTAAGCGTCTGACTCTTGGGTTCAGCTCAGGTCATGATCTCACAGTTTGTGAGATAGCGCCAGGCTCTGTGCAATGTGACCATCACAGGTGTCTCCAGACTTTGTCAGGTGTCCCTCCAGTTGAGAACTGCTGGTCTGCAGGGAAAGGCACAGCCTTTTTCCTCTTCAGCCCTAGTCACTCAGCTTCTATCTTTTTTTTTTTTTTTTTTGAGTGCACAGAAAGCCTGTGCATAAATCAGCATAGCAGTGACTATACATAATAAATGTAATTAAACCTATGCATCTCTTTTATTTACTTTACTTTCATACAAGTGATGGCAAATCATAAAGAAATCCAAGGCGTTTTGAATTGTACTTTTTGGTTTTTTTCTAATAGGTAAAGATCTGCAGCCAGGGGGAGTAAGTGACAGGGTTTTTTTAATCTGTGGGTTTGGTTAGACTTCAGTTGGGGAAGCCTTTTCCCATGACCCTTGGTTCTGGTCCTCTGGTCCTCAGGTCCTCTGACCCAGTGTATTGTTTCTAGCTTGTCCCCTGTATGTGCTGACTTTTCACTTCACGTCTCCTGCCCTAGCCTCCACCAGAAAGCCATGGCCCAGGAGATGCTTAAGAGGGGGACTGGCTTTTCTGGACCCTGAATTTGCCACTCACTACGGGGGAGTGGGGATGGGGAAAGGCAGGGGCAGCGGGCTCCCAGAGGCGGAGTCCATTAAGTTGCTGGGCATGAAACCGATGAGCCTGGGTGTCACTTGGGGACCGTGGCCCCGGCCCAGACACCTAAGCCTCTGACTACATTAGGATGAAATATGTAGCCTTTGGTTCTCTTGGAAGGTGTTGGCCTATTCTTTCCACTGGCGAATTCCTGCGCTTCAGGAATGATGAGGTGTTTACCCCCCAGTAGGGTTGATGGAAGACAGAGGCCTAGGGAGGTCAGACAGGAGCAGGGTTGACATTGTGGCGGGATTAATGGGCCTGTTTTTCTGAAATGCAGAGCCTGGCATCTATCATGTACGCTTAATGCACTTTGCTAAAATAGTAGCCCCAGGCAGCCGTCAATATTTAGCATTTTCTGTCTTAGAAGATTTATGAGCTTTTGGCCTTCTATTTACCCTGTATCTCCCTTCGTTAGGACGATTATCATTCCATATGGCAATTATTCTCTGCTGATCAGATCATACATGGACCTTATCTTTTTTTTTTTTTTTCCCCCTGCTTGTATCTCTGGGCACGTGGTACACATTCATTAAATGTAATGTGGAGGAAAACCTGAATGAGTAAAAGATTTGAATAAGCCATGTTAGGAACTATTTTTCAATTGGCAGAAACCTAACTCCAACTGACTAGAGTTAAAAAAAAAAAAAAAGTGGGATTTTTAAGTCACAAAATTGAAAAGTATAGGAAAGTGCTGGTTTTGAGCATGAGTGGGGTTTCAGGAATGGCTGGATCTAGGTATTTCAAAGGGAATGACCCCCTCTCTGTCTCTCAGCTCTGCATTCTCCATGGGGTTTTCTTTGGGGCAGTTCATTTATGGCCAAAGTCACGTCCTGATAACTCGGAGAGATTTTGTTTCCCAAAAGAAAATTGCAATATAGTAACCAGAAGCAGGCATGGATGCTGGGCAGACAAAAAGAACACAGGTCCACACACACAAGAGGAGTTGGGCTGGAGTAGATGGGCTCACCTGTGAGCTGCATTTCTCCATGTGGAGGCACTCTTAGCTCTTGGAGCGGCACCCTTGTTCTTCATTGCCTGCAGAAAACTCCTCACCTCCTTGACTTTCACCCATTACAGGGCTGTGGCACACTCCAGCCCCCAACTCGCCTACAGCCCCAGTCTTTGCGCTGACCCCACTCGCCTCCGCACACGTCCAGATACCCCACTGCTGGAGAGAACTCCGTTGACACCTGCTTCCCCCAGACTGTGAGTCTCAGGAATGCCCAGCCTGCCTCGCCCCTCGCCACACAGTGCCGGTACACAGCAGGTGCTCAATTAGTCGTTGAGGAAGAATGAACTCCACTTCCTGGAGAAGCCAGGGCTGTGGAACTGATGGGCCACGTGCGGTTGCTCCCTGTCTTCGTGCAGATAGTAAATACACCATATAGCACGCTAATCCGTTGGGCTACGGAAAAGAAAAAGATGCGAGACAGAGCAGTAGGGAGGGCTTGTGGTTTTAAAAAGGGTGGTTGAGCGCCTCACTGAGGAGGTGACGCTTGAGTAAAGGCCCGGTGGAAGTGAGGGCCCCCACCAGGGAGAGGGAAAAGCACATGCAAAGGCCCTGTGGCAGGACTGTGCCCACCCCATAGAGGGAATAGTCATGGAGGCCACTGGGGCTGGAACGGCACAAGTGGGCGGAGGATAGGAGAGGAGGTCAGGCAAGTTACAGGGAAAGGATTTTACAAACCAGACAAGCCCTGGGGCCTGAGTGAAGACTTGGCTTCTCCACTAAGTAAAGCAGACTGACTTTAGGGAGGTGGTTTTTTTGTTCTTAGTTTTTTTTTTTTTTTTTTGGCTGAGATATAATTCACTGTTTTAAAGCATACAACCCAGTGGTGTTTAATATGCTCACAAGGTTGTGCAACCATCAGCACTGTCTAGTTCCAGAACATTTCTAACAGCCCAGAAGGGAGCCCTGTAGTCACTGACAGTCCCTCCCTACTCTCCCAGCTCTAGCTAGCACACGTTAACCTACTTTTTTTTTTTTTTAATGTTTATTTATCTATTTTGAGAAGGAGAAAACAAGCAGAGAAGGGTCAGAGAGAGGGAGAGAAAGAATCCCAAGCAGGCTCCGTGCTGCCAGTGTGGCGCTGAACCTGGGGCTCGAACCCCCGAACCGTGGGATCATGACCTGAGCCAAAATCTAGACTTGGACGCCTGACCCACTGAGCCACCCAGGCGCCCCACTCCTCTCCTTCCTGTCTCTGTAGTTTGCCTCTTGTGGACGTTTCCTATCCCTGGGATCACGTAAGACACGGTCTTTGATGCTCGTTTTGGCTTCTCTTTGATATAGCGTCGTGTCTTCACGGGTCAGCACTTCATTCCTTTTTATGGCTGAATACTGTTCCTTTGTGTGGATCTGTCGGGCATTTTGAGTGAGAGTGTCTTCAGCTGAGAGGCTAGTGCGTCATGTAGCTTGTTGATGTCTCAGAGCCAGAACAGGAACCAGCTCCAGCTCTTCTTTGCAGTGCCTTGCCCTTGGGGCCCGGTGAATAGATTCTTTGGAAGAGTGGACCAAGGAGTTTGGACTGGGTCCTGTAACCAGAAATAAAAACAGCTGCCATATATTGCGTTTTACCGTGCGCCGGGCAGTGTGCTAAGCACTTTGCTTAAATGCCTGCTTTGTCGCGGCCAGCAGCCCTGTGCACGTGGAGCCGGATTCCCTTATTTTGTAGATAGGAAAACAGAGGCTTGCTTGGAGTCGGGAGGTGACACAGGGTCACACAGCTGACTCCCGGCAAAGCTGTTGGTTTTCATTTTTAAGCTGTGTTGCCTTCCGGTAGGTAGCAAAGAAATGAGGCACCCTGAAAATGCCCTGGACCACTGCCGCACCAGGGACAGGGCTCAAACTCAGACATCCTGGCTCCCGGCAGCCTGCTCTGAGCTTAGAAAGGCAGAGGCCTGGGCAGTTTATTTCCCACAGGGAAAGCCTTTAATGGCTCTGTGATCCTGGGGCTGATGTGGGGGGCAGGGACTTGTGTCTGTCTGTCGGGATCCAGGGTTGTCCAGATTGCTTCTGATAGCGTGTCCAGGGTGATCTCGTGGGACACCTGTTATTGGCCTTGCCCGGCAACACCTGGCAATTCTGTGTCGCCAGCAGTAAAGGGAGAGGCACAGAAATCCCCCTGGTGATCTCATGCCTCCCTCCCCAGCTGAGCAGCCCGGCCCTGGATTATTGAGGGCGTCCTCCCTTTCTCCTGGTCAGGGAGGGATTTGTGCTGCTGTCTCAGACAACTGAACCCCCATCCTGGTCGGCCTGCAGCCTGCGTAGTAAAATCCCAGGAGGCACCCCAGGGCTTAATGCAAGTCTGACTTCTGGGAAAAGTGGTACCTTTGGCCGTTATTTTTGTTTTCCCTTTTGTTTTTTAATTTTTTTTTTTATATTTATTTTTGAGAGAGAGAGAAAGAACAAAGGGGTAGCGGGGGAGGGGCCGGGGGGGGAGGAGACCCAGAATCCAAAACAAGCCCCCAGGCTCTGAGGCGTCAGCACAGAGCCCGACATGCCCCTCAAACCCACGAACCATGAGATCATCACCTGAGCCAAAGTTGGATGCTTAACCCACCCCGGCGCCCCTTTTTTTTTTTTTTTTTTTTTTTTTTTAATGTTTTACTTAGTTTTGAGAGAGCGCAGGCAGGGAACGGGCAGAGAGAGAGAGAGGAACAGAGGATCCAAAGTGGGCTCCACGCTGACAGCACAGAACCTGACGTGGGGCTCGAACCTCAAGATCATGACCTGAGCCGAAGTCGGACGCTCAGTCCGCTGAGCCACCCAGGTGCCCTGATCCCACCCCACCCCCTTTTTTTTTTTTAAATGTTCCTTTCCCGGGGATATAAAATCATAAATTCTGTGAGCTGGAAGGAACTTGAAATAGCGGCATTCCCTGTCGCCTCCACACCCATTTCATGGATCAGGCATGTGAGGCATGGTGAGAGGAGGTATCCTGCCTGGGCATTGTCCTAGGTACCGAGAATGCTGCCCGGGACAAACCCCACGCCTGACTTGGTGGAGGTCATGTTGTAGTGCAAGAGACCGACAACAAATACCTACAGTCCTGCAGTAAAAGGTAGCAGTTAGGTGCTGTGACATGCGGGAGGTGCAGTAGGTGCAGTCACAGGGTTGTTTCAGGCAGAGGGGGGTGGGGTGGCCTCTCGGAGGGTCAGCGGGAGGAGCCAGGCCACGGTCTGGATGGAAGGTCGTTTCTGGCAGAGAAGGTTGCAGGGGCAACGCCCCAGAGGTGCGATTCCACTCCTGAGGAATTCTCTGGATATCTGTACGGTGTGCTTTGGAGAAGGTTGGTACAGAGGCCACGACTTCCAGCTCCTGGTCACTCACCTGTCTAGTTCTTTGAGTGTTTAGTGAGTGCTTGCCGTGTTCTAGACACTGTCTTAGGTGTTTTCACCTGCCTCTGGTGGCCTGTCCCGGGGCAGGCCTGACCACACTGCCCAGGGGACACAAGTCAGTAAAGGACGCTCTGTTTGCAGGTGGCCCTGTCTACATTTGCCGTCTACGTGACTGTCAACGAGAACAACATTCTGGATGCCCAGAAAGCTTTCGTGTCCTTGGCCTTGTTCAACATCCTCCGGTTTCCCCTGAATATTCTCCCCATGGTCATCAGCAGCATCGTGCAGGTACAGGCGAGGCTGGGGTGGGGGTGGGGGGTCAGGGAGGGATTCTCTGGGAAATGACGCAAATCCCCCTCTGTACCGCTCCCTCTGTGTGACCCGTCCCACCGTGCCCGGTTGGCTCGATGGGGCCCCCACGGGGGGCTTTCGTGCTGTTTTGCTCATAGCCCAAAGAAAGGAATCCGTTTTACCTCTTGGCGAGGAACTCACATTTGAGCATACAAAGCAAATAGTGAATGCAGCCAGGTGCTCTGTAAGATTCTGAGATATTTTATCGTGTTCTGATCTGGTCTGTTCCACCCTGCCCTATCTTCACCTGCTTTTTCAAAGAATGCACCTCTGGACTTACTAAATTGATTTCACAACCCACTGATGGGCCTTGACCCACCATTGGAAAAACCCCGACCCAGACCCACCCAGAGTTAATAAGGTCCACACAGTGACCCTGTAAAGAGAGGAAACCGGCCACTTAGTCGCTCTGTGACGCTCCCACCACTTTCCTGCCGGTAGTATTTTTCGCATTTTTCTCACCAGTGTTGAACACGTTCATGTTGAAAACCCCATTTTCAGCCACAGATCAGCCTTAAGATTGGGTTGTACAGCTCTGTGGGTATGCTTTCTTAAAAAAATAATGAAATAAACAAGGAAATGGGGGCTTCTGGGTGGCTCAGTCGGGTAAGCATCTGACTTCGCCTCAGGTCATGATCTCATAGTTAGTTCGTGGGTTAAAGCCCTGTGTTGGGCTCCATGCTGGCCACGTGGACCCTCCTTGAGATTCTCTCCCTCCCTCCCTCTCTCTCTCTCTCTCTCTCTCTCTCTCTCTCTCTCTCTCTGCCCTTCCCCCACTTGTGCTTTCTCCCTCTCTTCCAATAAATAAATAAACTGAAAAAAAAAATAAGCCAGCAAATAAAACCCCCTTTTATTATGAATAAATTCAGACGTACACACAGGTAGGGAGAGAACAGTATAATAATAATGAACTGTGTGTAGCACTCCCCAGATTCAACATTTTGCCACACTTGATTCATCTAAATCTTCTTGTCTCCTCTCCTGCCCCACTTCCTTCCTTTCTTTCTCTGCTGAAGAAACTTATTTATTTATCTATCTATCTAAGATTTTATTTTTAAGTAAGCTCTACACCCAACTCAGGGCTTGAACTCACAGCCCTGAGATCAAGAATCGCATGCTTCACAGACTTAACCAGCCAGGTGCCCCTGAAGAATTTCAAAGCAAATCCCAGACCTCTTGACATTGCACCCATAAATGCTTCAGCATAAATTTCTTCTGCTTTGTTTTTTTTTTTTTTTCAACTTTAGTGAGATAGGGTTGATAAGTACCATTGCTTAAATTCAAGGTACACACAGCGTGTTGATTTCATATGCTGGCGTATTGCAATGGCATTACCTCGGGCGTGTTACCTAACACCTCTGTCACATCACATGATTTTCGTTTCCTTTTTCTGGTGGCAACCAGTAAGAAGCCAACTTGAAGTTCATAAACAGTGTTGTTGACTGTGGTCACTCTGCATTGTATCTCAGGGACTTAGTTATCCACTGGTAGCAAGTTTTTTTAATTTTTTAATTATTATTATTTTTAATCTTTATCTACTTTTGAGAGAGAGACAGAGTGCGAGTGGAGGAGGGACAGAGAGAGAGGGAGATGCAGAATCTGGAGCAGGCTGCAGGCCCTGAGCTGTCAGCATAGAGTCTTAGACGGGTCTCAAACCCACGGACTGTGAGATCATGACACGAGCTGAAGTCGGACGCTTAACCGACTGAGCCACCCAGGTGCCCCCACTGGTAGCAAGTTTTTAACCCTTACGCGGGACCACTGCCTTTGGTCATTGTTTCTACAAGTCCCTTGTCTTCTGGGACAGTCCCCCTACCCTCTTTTTTAATACGAATCGTGGGCTTTTAAAGGAAAACAAACAAGAACCAAAACCTGTTCTGTTTTTTATTCTAAGTCCCGCTCTTGTAGGAAACGCAGAGCCTCCAGAAATGAGGGAGGAAACCACTGAAAGTCGGCCTCGGTCTGTTTTCGCAAAAATGCTTTTAAAAATAACTGCACCCTGTAATTGCCTTCTCTGTAGGCGAGTGTCTCCCTCAAACGCCTCAGGATCTTTCTGTCTCACGAGGAGCTGGAGGCCGACAGCATCGAGCGGAAGCCTGGCAAAGACGGTGTGTGCATTTGGTTCCCCTGTACCTCGAAGGCTACCCTTGGGTTTGGCTGTGCCCAGAAGCCCGTCTGCGAGGCCCCAGGGAGCGGGGGCTCTGCAGAGTGGGGTGGCCTTATCTTGCACCGCCCAGGCGGCTGAACTTCAGCTTGTTTCCTTGGTGTGTCCTCACCGAGAGGCAGCTGGAGGTGAGGCCTCCCGCCGAGGGACAGGATCCAGAGCTCAGATCTTGATTCTGTTCTGGGCAGATGGGCGGGCAAACCGAGGACGGATGTTGGGAGACCAGCTCCAACCTTCCTGCTCTGTGTCCTTCGGCAGGTCACTTCACTGCTCTGAGTCTCAGTTTCCCCATATGGGTCATGAGGATGAAGGTGCCTTTCTCTAGCAGGGTGTTAACGTGGATTTTTATTGTTGATTGGGTTTTGTTGTTTTTTGGGTTTTTTTTTTTTGTTTTTTTGTTTTTTTTTTTTTTTGTAGGTTACTAATTTATCCTTTCCTCATCAATCCCCCTGAGTGGGGATCTTACTCATGGCTATATCTCTAAGCACTTAATAATAAATATTCATAGCATTACGAGCAGTGACTCCTTCCACTTAAGTGACACTCCTGTCACGCACTTTCTGCTCTAAGGACGTGCAGACACTACCCCACCCGCTGCTCACACATCACACAGAGGAGCTCTGGAAACCCCCATTTTACAGATGAGGAAACTGGCCTAAGTGACCTGCCTGAGATCACACAGCTAATAAGAAGTAGAGTCAGAATTTGCACCCACAGCCGGCCAGTGGAATCTGTGCTCCAGTCCACTGGACAGTGTCTCCCTCACTGAGCTTTATTGAGCACCTACTATGCACCAAGCAGCACAGCTCTGTGTGGTCCGTCTCATTATTATCGGTCCTAGTCGACAGATGAGGAAAATGAGGCACAGAGAAGTTAAGTAACTGGCTCAAGGCTCTCCAGCTAGGACATGGCCACGCGGGGATTGGACTCAAACAGTCGGGCTCGGGAGCCCAGTAAATACTGTCCGAGGCATGAATGTGTGTAGACGTTGGTTGTAAGGTACAAGTAGTGCCTGGCACCAAGTAGGCATTCAGATGTCTTCGGTGGTGTGTGCAACGCTTAGCCCAGTGCCTGCTGACCCAGTGGTCGTGGTGGCCGTTATGTCCCTAGCGTAAGAGAGGAGCCATCTGGGACATTTTCAACTCAGCCGTCTACGGCCAGGTTCCCCAGCCTCGGCACTGCTGCCACTCAAGGCCAGATGGTCCTTCGCTGTGTGTGTGTGTGTGTGGGGGGGTGTCCTCTGCTTTATAGGGTGCTGAGGGGCATCCCGGGCCTCCACCCACTAGATGCCAGTAGAATCCACCCCAGTTTTGACAACCAAAAATGCCTCTGGGCATTATATCCCTTGGGGGGCAAAGTTGCCCTGGTTAAGAACCACTGCTCACTGGATGCTGGAATCTTCTTCTCAACATTCCTGGCCTGTGGTTACCAGTTTCTGCCATCCTGAGGACCTAGTCTCCCCCCACCCTCCGTAAATGGTACGGTGCCATCTACTCCTGGTCACATTTCTCTGCCTAACGCAGGCCTGAAATTTGGGACAGCCCAGGGAGGTTTCAGAGGAGTAAAATTGCTCACAATTACCTGCAAGTGTCCTGTTGGAAAACCCCTAGGCCTCTGGAAAACCCCAGGCTTCCTCGTGTGGTCCGGGCCTCAGCACCCCCTTTCCACCCTAATGACAGTCTCCTAGGCTGTTTGACTTATTGAGATGTTTATCCACACTCCCTGGGTGCCAGATGGGGCCACTTTGGCCACTCCCGGCTGGGTCTGGTGGTTTTCTAGCTTGTCTAACTCAAGTGGCTTTTCTTTAAATTCCTTAAATAGCACCTTCCAGTTTCCTCCTTGGTCTGTGTTACACGGGACGGGACGGGACGGGGAGGCCTGGGGACCGGGCTCGTTAGGTTAGGTTAACCAGTAACTTCCTCTTGCAATGGGCTTTTGTTTCTTCTCTGTGTGGGGGAATTTACTTCTTTATTTGACAGCTTGAAAACACGCCCATCTTATCTCTAGGTGGTTTTACGCAGGCTCATAATGAAGGGTCAAAAAATTTTTTCTTTTTTTTTTTTTTTTTTAAGTAAGGAGGCATAAAGTCTAAAAGGGAGAGAAGGGGAGAGAAAGTGAAGGAAGAGGTGCTGGGAGCTTAGAATCCCCAGGAGCCATTATCCACAGGATGCGGGCTTTGTCTACCGCTCTTCCCTCCCCCTTCCACCCTGTGATACCCCACCTCCTGTTCCACAGCCTGCTTTTTCACAGTTCACGTGCCTGCTGTTTCAGGAAGTTGGACCTGCTGCGATGGGAGCAGGGGTGGCGGGAGAAGGGATCCTGGGAGGTGCATTAGGAGGCCACCCTGCAATCCAGGAGCTCTGGGCCAAGGACCCCACTTTGAACAGAAAGCAAGGGCCTAGGGGGTGGTGAGGGCCAAGAGCCAGGCCCACCCGATGGAGAGCCAGTACTTGTTCCCTGTTGACCCTGGCTTCTGCTCAGCGTCCCCAGCCAGAGCTGCCCTATCTTCCCAAGATGGGGGGACGGGGACCTCAGAGCTATGAGTAAACCCCCAGGGGCTCCCCCCACCCTGTGCGAGATGGGCATCTGGATGGTGTAACCTTCGAGGCAGAGCCCTGTTGTGGTTCCTTCTGCTTTGTGGGTCTGGTTGGGTTTCTTTAGAAACCAGAGCTAATGTAACCAGATAATGTCTAGTGCAAGTATGTAGCACCTGCCATTGAACTTTAAAAAAGATAAGAGAAAAAAAAAAAAAAAAAAGAGAGAGAGCCTCCTGCTCGTGCTCAGTCCTCAGGCTTCATCTGTGCCTGACCTGTTGTGTCTGGTGCTTTTCAGGTGGGGGCACAAACAGCATCACTGTGAAGAATGCCACGTTCACATGGGCCAGGAGTGACCCTCCAACGCTGAATGGGTAAGCCAGGACGTGGAGAGAGCCAGGAGGCTCTGGTCAAATGTGGATTCCAGCCACACTCTAGCTCTTTGACCCTGAATAAGCCACTGTGCCTTTCTGAGCCTCAATTTACCCGTCGGGAAATAGGTCTAGTCCTACCTGTCAGGGCTGCAGGAAGGAGCAGATGAGAAGACAGAAACCGTGCACAGATGGGTTTGGGCAACAGTTTTTGGCTTGCATAACTCAGAGCCACTGTCAGGTACAGCATGATCCAGGGACTCTGTGCCATCAGGATTCTCTCCATCTTGACTTTGTTCGGTTTCCCTGTGTGCTGCTTCCTTCTCAAGCTGCCTCCCCACTCATGATGGGAAATAGACCCCGTCAGCTCCCAGTGTGCCTCTTACTTCGGTGGGACACCCAGCTGGCTCTTATTGGTCCAGGTTGGGTCATGCGCCCCTCACTGAGCCAAACACTGTGCCAGGAGAGAGAGAGCATACTGATTGGCCAGGCTGGGTCTAAGGCTGCGATGCTACAGGTTGCAGGCAGGCTTGGGTCTGCTGAAAGGAATTTTTGTCGGAAGGCATTTGTCAGGATGGGATTGTTCTCTGTCCTCTCCCAGGCCTACAGCTGCCGAGTCACCCTTCCTTGCCACCTCCCCATCTGGTACCAAAGCACAGTGTCCAGGAATTGACCTGGTTCCCCAGGCAACTTGTCAAGTGCCTCTTATTTGTTTCTGAGCTGGGGAGGCCTTTCTCACTGGCTCTGTCAGGCTTCCTCAAAGGAGTCCCCAAAATACAGGGCCAGAAGGAACCTTTTTAGGGGCCAAATTTATCCCCCATGCCCCTTCACAATTACCTCCTCACTGGGTAGCCGAATTATTGCTGTGTATCGACTGAGGAAGCATGGGGGACAGACTCTCTAGAGAAAAGAATCTTGGTAAAATTCTTTCTACACCTGGAAAATTCATGGTGGGGCTGCATGCTTGGGAAGTTCTTCCTTATGTCCAACTTCGCTCCTGCCTGCTTCAATTTTAGGTTTTCTCTCTTGTCTGTCTCTCTTGTCTTTTTGTTCCATGCGCCCCACCCCCACTTCCGCTCTTGAACTCCCCAAACCTTCCCCACCCAAACCTTTTCTCTCCTCACCCTATAAAAATAACCCATTCTCACCTGGACAGTCACAGGAGCCGCCTCGCTGGGTGTCCTCTTCTGTTGTGGCCCCCTCATCCATTCGCCCCTCAGCTCAGCAACAAAAGCATAATCGGTTCATGAGCTTTAAACGGTCAGCGATAGCAGAATCTAACGTTTACACTAATATGTTGAAATCGTAACGGCATCCATCGAAAAGCACAGCCAGGGTGAGTAAACCCAAAGAGGCCCTGACTGCAGCCAGCGACTGGCCCGTGTCATTGGACGGGCAGTCTTGCCAGCGGAGCCTGGAGCTTACTGTCGTACTCGGGCTACCATCGTTTGTGAAAGGATGGTTTCCATAGAGACGTGTTTTCAGACTCGGATTCCTCCATGGCAGGTCCCCCGCTTCAAACTCCGAGGCCCCCAGCACAGCGAGCTTTGAGGTTTTCGGGCGTGCCTGCTGCCCACCCACCGCTTTAGGGCTGGCCTTACTCCCCTCTGCCTCGTCCTGTGCTGTCGACTTGTCAAGCCCCGATCACACCTGTCCGTTCACACCCTTGGGCCTTCTCTTAAGCTCTTCCTGGGTTTCTGTGTCTGGTGCTGCTTACTTTTCCTTCAAAGTTCACGTTGAGGCTCCTGTCTGTCCCTCAGGTAGCCTGCATGGTTAATCTGGCCCCCTGATCATGATCTGGCCGCCCAGGTGACTCCCGCTGCCTCTGCGTCTCTAAGACACGTGCGCATCCCAGCGCCTGCCTGGAGCCTCATGTGCCCAGGCCCTCGCACGCTCCCTGAGCCAAGCTTAGCAGTAGGGACAGCGGTGGTCATTTCCAGACTGGGAAGGCTCCTTCCAGCCCTGCCGTCCACCTCTCTCCGCTCTGGGTACATCCAGCTCTGGTGGGCCACCACCTGTTCAGGCAAGGGTGTGGCTGAGGCAGAGCACATTATGTCATTTCAGCATTACCTTCTCCGTTCCGGAAGGTTCCTTGGTGGCCGTGGTGGGCCAGGTGGGCTGTGGAAAGTCGTCTCTGCTCTCAGCACTCCTGGCCGAGATGGACAAGGTGGAGGGCCACGTGTCTGTCAAGGTAGGACAAGGACTGAGGGGGGTGGGGGCATGGCTGGCCTGAGAGGAGAGTCAAGTGCGATGCTGTGGTTTGTTTCATGGCGGCCCCTGTGCAGGAGGCGAGAGCAGCGAGGTCTGCCTCCTTCTCTCTCACTCGCCCTGCTCTTCTCTGTGCCCCCTCGAAGGCAAGAGTTGATGTCGCTGATTTCCCGCTGTGTCCTAGCACAGAGAATAGTGTCCAGCAAGTAGTAGACACTCAATAAATACTCTGTGAACACACGGATGCTCCCTGGTCCACTCACTGTCTCTAATCCTCTCCCCATCTCTGGCCCTCAGTGTGCATCTTGTGGTCTCTCTTGACACGTGAGTCCCTCTGGCTTGTTGTCTCTGTCCGTGGGTCTGTGTCTGTATCTCTTTTTATAAATGTAACAAAATTAACATTTTTGGTCTGTGTCTTTGGGATATTGTGTTGGAGAATTCTTGTTAGAGCTGTTTAAGGGGCGCCTGGGTGGCGCAGTCGGTTAAGCGTCCGACTTCAGCCAGGTCACGATCTCGCGGTCCGTGAGTTCGAGCCCCGCGTCAGGCTCTGGGCTGATGGCTCAGAGCCTGGAGCCTGTTTCCGATTCTGTGTCTCCCTCTCTCTCTGCCCCTCCCCCGTTCATGCTCTGTCTCTCTCTGTCCCAAAAATAAATAAAAACGTTGGAAAAAAAAAAAAGGGAGCTGTTTAAATTCTGAGTGTTTCCTTGAATTCTTAATAGAAGAATGGAAGAAGAATTAGAGATTTATTGGTTTTTAAAATGCACAGGACTTGGAGCTAAGTTGGAATATTCCTCAAGAGAGAATTTAAGAGGCTGCTTCAGTGAACACATGAATCTCCCTGTAAGTCAAGAGCCTTGCTTTGCGTTTAGCTGATTCGCCATGAAGGAGTTGCCCTGGAGTAGGAAGCGTCCCTCGAAGTTTCCTGGCCACCAGTCCTTCAGCCTGGTCTGCTAGACTCATCCTGCGGTTGTTTGAGGAGGAGAGTTCTGGGCTCAGACAGGCTCGGGAGAGAATGCACACGCAGCTCCCCTCCCTCTTGGAGACTTAAAATAAACGTGAATAAAGTAAAGGTTCTGAGAAGTCCCACAAGGAGAAGAAAACTTATGGAAGTTTGGTTAACCCAGTGTGTTCCAGGCATACTTGGCCCGTGCAACTATTTGCATCCCCAGAACTATTGTCCCTTGGAATCTCCTCCTAGGAATGCTGGTTTATGGAGTTGTTTTTACTTCAGAGCAAAGTCATTTTTTTGTTCTTTGGGTTTTTTGGTTTTTTGTTTTGTGTTTTTGTTTGTTTATATGAGGCCCTTTAGCCTGGTATGCATCGGTAGAAAAGTATACGTTACGTTAGTTGGGTCTACACTAAAGGCATTTATTAAAAAAAAAAAAAAATTTTTTTTTTAACGTTTATTTATTTTTGGGACAGAGAGAGACAGAGCACGAACGGGGGAGGGGCACAGAGAGAGGGAGACACAGAATTGGAAGCAGGTTCCAGGCTCTGAGCCATCAGCCCAGAGCCCGACGCGGGGCTCGAACTCACGAACCGTGAGATCGTGACCTGAGCCGAAGTCGGACGCTCAACTGACTGAGCCACCCAGGCGCCCCATACACTAAAGGCATTTAGCTGCGGTTTTCAGAAATATTCCGTCGCTGCTTTGAAAGTACACGTTATAAAGTGAGCTTGATGGGCAGTGTGCCCTACGTTTCTGGAAGTAGACTCCAAACTGTCCCCATTGTGTTCTGCTCCGTTAATGCGTTTCCACCACCGTAGTGCTCTTGACGTGTCGGGCTGGATGCTTTTCTGCTGTGGTGGGCTTGTCCTATGCTGTGTACCATTCTTAGCTGCATTCCTGCCCTCTGTCCACTAGATGCTGATAGCAGACTCCAGTTGTGATAACCAGGAGTGTCTAGATGTTGTCCCATGTCCCCCAGAGAGCAAAATTTTTTAAAGTAAAAAAAAAAAAAAAAAAAAAAAGGCTTTAAATGCAGAAATGATGCATCTAGAAGTTGAGGGTGCACTGAGTATTTGGTTTGATGAACTGATTTCTCTGACTGGTTATTTTGCCCTGCAAAGGAGCATGCTAGAAATGTGTTTAAAATATTAATTTTCTCCAAATATTTTACTTGGGTATGCCGTGTCTGAATTTTCTGTGGGTTCTGTGGTGAGACTTTGTGACATTTTGGCCTCTTGTCAGTTAGGGTATTAGTTTGGTTATTTATCTGAGAATGAAGATTGAGATTTGAAATACCTGGGTCCCTCTCCCAACCGTATCCCTCTAGAATTCTGTTACGGAAGAACCTTCACTCGTAGCGGCTCCTGGGTGGCTCAGTCGGTTAAGTGTCCGACTCTTGGTGGGCTTAGGTCGTGATCTCACGGTTTGTGAGTTCAGGCCCCACATCGGGGTTTGCCCTGGCAGCACAGAGCCTGCTTGGGATTCGCTCCCCGCCCCCCCGTCTGCTGCTTGCACACATGCACGCTCTGTGCGCCTGCCTCTCTCTCTCTCTCTCTCTCTCTCTCTCTCTCAAAAATAGATACACATTAAAAAAAAAATAATAATCTTTGCTCCCCTTGCCCTTCCAGTAAAGCCCAGGCTCCTCCCCCGGATCCCTGGCCTGGGGTGGGCCGGCCCTTGCTGCCCTCCAGCTCACTCCTACCTGTCTTCCCCTTCACACAACGTTCCGGTCATCCTGGCCTTCCTGTTCCTTGGATGTGCCAGGTTCTACTTGTCTCTGGACCTTTGCACATGCTGTTCCCTCTGACTGGAATGCTTTCCATTTCTCCTTTGTCACACCAACTAACCCTCACCTGTTGGTCCTTTGAAACAGATGACTTGACATAGAAGTAACCTTGATTAAATTTCATCAAGGATATTTCCCCAAGGAATCCTTCCCTGATGACCCAAGCTAGGTCTCTCTTTTCAAAGGACTTTTTTTTTTTTTTTTTTAATTTATTTATTGAGAGAGAGACAGCGAATCCCAGGTAGGCTTCATGTTCAGCACAGAGCCCAGTGCAGAGTTCAGTCTCACAACTGTGATACTATGACCTGAGCTGAAATCAAGAGTCAGACGCTGAACCGACTGAGTCATCCTAGCTCCCTTTTAAAGGACTTTTTATTGATGTATGTATTTATTTTTATTTATTTTAAGGTTTGTTTATTTGAGAGGGACAGACAGCATGAGCAGGGGAGGGGCAAAGACAGGGAGAGAGAGAGAGAATCCCAAGCAGGCTCTGTGCTGCCAGCACAGAGCCCAGTGTGGGGCCTGAACCCACAAGGTCGTGAGATAATGACCTGAGCTGAAACCAAGAGTCAGTCACTTAACCAACTGAGCTACCCAGGTGCCCCTTAAAGGACTTTTTAAAGGACTCATTTTTTTTCTCTCTTAGCATTTACCCCAAACTGTAATCAAATATATTTTTTTTTTTTTATCACATCAGGGACTTCTTTTTTTTAAGTTTTTTTATTTTTGGGAAACAGTGCAAGTGAGCAAGGGCAGACAGATTGGGAGAGAATCCGAGAATGCCACAGAAGGGCAGAGAGAGAGAATCCCACACGGGCTCTCCAGTATCATTGTAGACCCTGAATCGGGGACACAGCTCACCCGATTTGGGGTTTGAACGCACAAACCATGAGATCATGACCTGAGCCGAAGTCGGATGCTTAACTGACTGAGCCACCTAGGTGCCCCACTTCTTGAGAGGCAGGAGTTTTGTTCACTGCTAGAGGCATTTAGTGAATTCTTAACTAAATACAGAACTGTAATCTCACTAATGCGGATTTCCACTCTTGAATTCCTGATATTAGAGTCTGTGATTGACCTAGTGTGGGGTCTGATCCCAGGTCTGGCATCTGAGTCTGTCGTGACTCAGTTTCCCCCTTGCTGAGCATCTCGGGAAGTAGAATCCTCCTGGCGAGTGGATGGGCCAGCTGCCATCTTGTTAACCAAGTCTGTCTGTCTGTCTTGCTGCCTTCTGTATTTGCTGCCTAGGGCTCAGTGGCCTACGTCCCCCAGCAGGCCTGGATTCAGAATGATTCTCTCCGAGAAAATATCCTTTTCGGACGCCCCCTCCAGGAACGGTATTACAAGGCTGTGATCGAAGCCTGTGCCCTCCTCCCAGATCTGGAGATCCTGCCCAGCGGGGACCGGACGGAGATTGGTGAGAAGGTCAGTCGGTACAGTCGGTACAGTCGGTACATGGTGCCTGTATCAGTCAGCCACAAAATCTTAGGGGCTTGTATTAAACACTTATTCTCCCTTTTGACTGTGCTTGGCTGACCCACACTGGGCTCAGTCAGGCAGCTCTGCTCCGTGTCACAGGCCAGCTGAGCTCGCCTCTAGGCCATGGGTTTGGCTGGGGTCCGTCCCGCATGGCTTCTTGCTGGGGCTTCGGCTGAAGGGGTGATGGCTCTACGGGGGACACCCTTCTCATGGTGACAGCAGAAGCCCAAGAGAGACAGAAAAGCCACAGGGTGTCCCTTAAAGCATATTGTCCTTTTCACCTGGTTGAACTGAAAGGTGGGAGAGCAGGAAGTGCCCTTCGCCTTTGCAGTCATGTGACTGTGGAGTCACATGACAGGGCGCTCTACAGGGAGGAGGGGTGCCCGTGATTCAGATGTCCACAGTCCCTTTCAAAGCAGCGATAATAGTAAAAATAATATGGTCGCCAGCAGCTGTTGGGCATTTACTATGTGCCAGGCACCATGATAGACATTTTTATGTATTTCATCCTCACGGCAAGCCCATGAGAGGGGATTGACTGTCATTTGCATTTCATGGTTGAGGAAAGAGAGGCATAGAGGGGGCTAAGTGACTTGTCCAAACACCTTCCCACTAATGTTTGCTTATTTTTGAGAGAGAGAGAGACAGAGCGTGAGCGGGGGAGGAGCAGAGAGAGAGAGAGGGTGACAGAATCCGAAGCAGGCTCCAGGCTCCGAGCTGTCAGCACAGAGCCTGATGCGAGGCTTGAACTCACTGTGAGATAATGACTTGAGCCAAAGTTGGACGGTCAACCGACTTGAGCCACCCAGGTGGCCCTGAGTTAGTTGTAACGCACGTGTCTGTTTCTGCCACATGGAGACTCCTCATTGTCCCAGTCTGGCTGCCAATAAAAGTCTAGAGCGAGAGACTATGACTGGGTCTGGCGTCTGCCCCGGGCCAAAGAGCTGTGGCCGGAGGGGCCATCAAAAAGAACCTGGCTGCCTGAGCCCCACCTGGGTGTGTAGGGAGGGCAGGCATCTCTCTCAGCAGAGACTGGGCCCCGTTAACCCGGTGGGGTCCACTTGGACTTCCCAGCCATAGATGGAAATGACAGTCAGTAATCGATAATCCGTAGTCGGAGGGAGAGCTGTGACTGCTGCGGTGTGCTCCATGGAGCACCCTGGTGTGAATTAGAAATCGGTGCCCTTCCTGCTGGTGAGTGGGGGGGGGAACTTCAGCACCCCCAGAGTGCAGCCTGCCTTGGCTCTCTGTGGTTTCACCGTGAGTGAGAGATCAGAGCAAGCGCGCCAAAGTGGTAGCTATTAACTGCAGCAGCAGCAGCAGGCTCGTTACGGCATCTGCCGGTGCCTTCTGTCAGACTCCAAGATCCGGAGCCTTCCTGTTGCTTGGTGCCACGGGCCGCCCCTTGCCGAATGCCCACACTGTGCCAGCTGTCTGCTCAGCAGCTCCCAGGGGCTCCAGTTTTCTCTTCTGCCTGTTTTAGGGTTGAGGCTGGATTCCGTGGTCGGCCTTGAGCACAGTCCGTGCAGATACAATCTCCTGCCTCTGCTTCCTGCTCAGACGAGGGGAGGCGGTTCAGCCCTCCAGGGCCGCCAGCCGGGGTCTGCTGCCTTCTGAGCAGGGCTCCCTAGGAACCCCCCCCTTCTGCTGTGTCTCTCCCCAGGGCGTGAACCTCTCTGGGGGCCAGAAGCAGCGTGTGAGCCTGGCCCGGGCCGTGTACTGTGACTCTGACATCTACCTCTTCGATGACCCCCTGTCGGCGGTGGATGCCCATGTGGGAAAACACATATTTGAAAATGTGGTTGGCCCCAAGGGGATGCTGAAGAACAAGGTACCTGCCGAAGGGCCAGGGCTCAGCTCTGGCCGTCCTTGTGCATTTGTTCAGTCAAAATGTGCCCCTTTTGGGAATCCTTCACTTCCCACCTTTCAGGATTATTTTATTATTATTATTATTATTATTATTATTATTATTAATGTTTATTTATTTTTGAGAGAGTGAGTGAGCATGAACGGGGGAGGGGCAGAGAGCAAGGGAGACACAGAATCCGAAGCAGGCTCCAGGCTTCCGGCTGTCCACACAGAGTCTGACACGGGGCTCAAGCTCACAAACTGTGAGACCACGACCTGAGCCGAAGTCAAATCTTTAACCGACTGAGCCACCCAGATGTCCCCCACCCCATTTTTTTTTAACGGGGCCCCCGGGGGCCGCCCCCCCCCCCCATTTTTTTAATTGGACTTCAGAACACGTTTCTAATGCTTCCCTTGCATGCCTTTCTGGGACAGCTTTCTTGCTCTTGTCCTTATAGGGGGACGTCCTTGACACTCACTTGAAGTCCTTGCCTTCACGTGGCCAAAGGAGGCTCCTCTTCCCGATTTAATAATGGGCGGCTTTGCAGAGGGAAATCCTATCCCTTTTGACTGATGGGGCAGCTCTCCCTTCCCTGCTGATGTGGCCGTAGGCTGAGGGACGGAGGTTGGGAGCAGGAAAAGTGCCTATAGCACCCGTACATGACAGGAAATGTGTCCTCACCTGTTTATCATCATCATCATCATCATTTTTAGGGGAATTATAGGATGGTTGAGAAGGAGTACTGCTTTTCGGTTTTTTTCTTCTGGAGAAAGAAGTATTTTCCGCATGTCCATGGGGAAAATAGAAAAGATGCAGAAAAACACAACAAAGAAAAAAAAAAGCAATTTTGGACAACCCTACCTCATGCAGATTTTTTTATTTCAAGCCTTATAAATAGGTTATCATGTCATGTGTGTACATAATGGACCTCAAGCCACTTAACCTATTATAAGCATCATCCTGTACACACCATAAAAATTCTGGATAAACATAATTTTCAATTTAAAAAATTTCGTTATCAAAAATCTAAAAGAGTGTAAGAGTTATACGTAAAGCAAAAAAAAAAAAAATGGCCCTCCTTTGTCCTGCGCCCTAGGCCCTGTCTCAGGAGACAGGTGTCACCAGGCCGCTTGCTGTCTGTTTCTGTACCACCCTTGAGCTAAGACTGGCTAAGACTGGTCTTTACATTTCTGAAGCGGTTGGAAAAAATCTGGAGGGGGAAAAAAAAAAATTTGTGACATATGCAAATTGCATTGAGTTTAAATATATTTTTATATTTATATTTATATATAATACATGTACATATTTTATTTATATAATATATATTTATTGGGTCACAGACCATCTTTTTCCATCGTATGTACGACCACCTTCACGCTGTGGCAACTTCACCACCGGTTGCCATAGCAACCAGAGGATCCATAAAGCCAAAAGTATTTACCATTTGGCCCTTTAAGAAAAAGTTTGCCGACTCGTGTCGTTTGAGGAACGTCCTTCCAAACCTTGACTTAACTGGATAAAATATATACCGACGTACGAGTTTTGTAGTGTCTTTTGGGAGGTGGGGGATTACCTGAAAAGAAAATTATGCCACGGCACACAGATTGCTTTGTATCTGTGTCATTTTTCTGTTCTTGGACACATGCATGGTTCCCCCCCTGCCTCCCTCTCATCCTTCAGATTTCTGTTCACAGATAGGCTTCCCCATCACCCTTGTTAAAATTGCAGCCTTCCACCCTCGGTCTCATACCCCCCCAGCACCCGCCGTGTTGCACTTGTATTGGTCCTCTCTCCCCCGACCCTGGAGTGTGGGGCTGGGATCTGTTTCCCTCCCTGCGGCCCCCCAGCTCCTGGCAGGTGAGTGTTGAAGGGAGGCACCCATAGATGGGCGCGTCCCCAGCGCTCAGACTCGAGCTTGGCCGCTAGGCGTGGGGGAATTGCGCTCATGCCCGGGCGCTGACTCGCGGGTCCCCGCTCTGCCCGCAGACACGGCTCCTGGTCACACACAGTATCAGCTACCTGCCCCAGGTGGATGTCATCATCGTCATGACCGGAGGCAAGATCTCCGAGATGGGCTCCTACCAGGAGCTGCTGGCCCGGGACGGGGCCTTCGCCGAGTTCCTGCGCACGTACGCCAGCACCGAGCAGGAGCAGTCCGAGCAGGATGACGGTAGGGCGCGCGGGGTGCCTCGCTGGGCCCCCGCTGCCTCCCGGAGGTTCCCCCACACCCCCTCCGCGGTGGCCTGTCGGCAGCGGGCCAGCCTCTTCAGGGTCCCAACGCTTTGGGGGCCGCATTGAGAGGGGGTGCTAGCGCTTTGCGGCGGGGGCAGCAGATCTGGGCCCAAGTCCTGCTACTTTCCTGCGATGTGGCTCTGGGCCGAGCTTAAGTGTTCTCTCGGCAGGCACAGGGACGGTGGTGAGGTTCTCAAGAGGCTGTGGGAAGCAGTGACTTTGTATGGCATAATCTAGAACAGATGTGAGGGCCGTGGGGGTTGTAGGCTGCTGGTTGGCAAGACCTCGGGTTGAGTCCCATTGCCCCTCTTTTTTTTTTTTTTTAATGTTTATTTTTGAAAGAGAGAGGGTGGGGGCAGAGAGAGAGGGAGACACAGAATCCGAAGCAGGCTCCAGGCTCCGAGCTGTCAGCACAGAGCCCGACGTGGAGCTCGAACCCATGAACCGTGAGATCATGACTCGAGCCGAAGTGGGATGCTTAACCGACTGAACCACCCAGGTGCCCCCCACTGCCCCTCTTACTAGGGTCCCCCAAACCCTTCTGAGCCTCAGTTTCCCCACTGATAATAACGGAACAGTCTTCTGGCACTCGGTGGAGATTTCATGTGCTGAATTCCTTAGAGCCTTGGGCGTAGTGCCTGGCACACAGTGTTCGGGCCATGACAACTGTTGTCATTACCCGCCCCGGGAAGAGTGCCCATCTCTTCACCCCATGCCCTTGGCACCTGCCAGGTCAGTGCAGACCTGCCCCCTTCCCACCTGCCGCACCCACTGTGTCCTCTCGGGCCAGGACTCCGAAAGCTGGAACCTCACCCTGTCCTTACTTGAAGGCTTCTGTGGTGAGACTTCTAAGAATCTGTCCTCTCCTCTCTGTTGGCTTAAATTTCAGGGGATTGGTCTGCCGCCTTCAGGCTGCCCTGTGTTTCATCACTCAGACTGGCATCTCAGAGGCTCCTCTCCTCCCCTCTCTGCTTGGAGCTCTGACCCCACGGAGAGGGAAGAGGTCATCTGACACCTTTGCTCCTTGGCTCGCGGCGATTGCTAAGAATGGAAACGAGAGATTGCTCTTCCGGCCCTGATCTCCCATCTCCAGGAGCAAATTACAGACTCCCCCAGCCTCCGGGGCACGTTCTTTATGTGCTTTGTCCCCAGGGAGGCCTCAGATAGACCGTCCACAGGGGCAGGGCTGCGGGACTGCCTCGTTGGGCAATTTGCACGGGTGCTTTTGTTCTCGCAACGTCTGCGATACGGATCTAAGACACAGCCGCTGCTTGCTGAGGGCTTCCCGGGGCCCCTGTTCTCTGCTGGAGTTCCCTTGTTGACCCCTTCCATCGACTCACGAGGGAGTAGAATTGTTATTCCCGGTTCACTGGTGAGGAAAGTGAGGTGTAGGGAAAATTGTCCCTTCTGTGTCAGGGACGGCCGGGTTCCTGTAGCTGTGAATGGGGCCGGTCCCTAAGAAAGAGCTGTCTACTCTTCATCGAGGTAGTCATTCAGCAGATTTTTATTAAGCGTCTACTACTATGTGTTGAGTGCTTGTATCAACTCCCTAGGGCTTCCTTGACAAAGTGCCACAGGCTGAGTGGCTTAAGCAACAGAAATTTAATCTCTCACAGTTTGGGAGAATGGAAGCCAAATACCGAGGTGTTCACCGGACTGATTCTTTCCGAGGCTCTGAGGGAGGGCTGTTCTACCCCTCCCCTGTCTTCTGGAGAGCTGCTGGCGGCCAGTGGCTTATGGATGCTTCACCCCCACGTCTGCCTCCGTCTTTCACACAGAAACCTGGCGTGTTTCTGTCTCTCAATTTCCCCTTTTTGTAATGACACCAGTTATATGGGATTAGGGCCCACCCTAATGACCTCACCCGAACTCATTACACCTGCAGATAACTTGTCTCCAAATACAGTCACGTTCGGAGCTCCTGGGGGCTAGGAATTCAGGAATTCCTAGAACAGCACTGTTCTAGGTTTTGGGGAGACAGAAGTGAAGGGCATCTAGACAGATCCCTATCCTCATGGAGCTTGGAATCTGTTGGGAGAAAAGGGCAAAACACAAATCAAGAAATAAATGGTTTCCTAGAGCGTTAAGTGCTATGAAGAAAAAAAAAACCCACACAGGATGATGAGCTGGGGAGAGATACGGATGACACCTGGCCATGCAAGGTGGTCAGAGACACCCTTTCTGAGGGGGTGACCTTGGCATGGAAGGTTGCCAGCAAGGAGAAAATCCGGGGAACAGTGTGCTGACGCAGGGAACGGAAAGGAGGCCGGGGTGGCCAGACCACGGTGGGTGAAGGGACAGTGGTGGGAGAGGGCCTTTCAGGGTGAGGAGTTTGGGGTTTGGTCTCAATGCAGCGGGCATCCAGTGAATGTCAGAGAGGGGCAGCAACTTGGCCAAGGACACACAGTGGCTGCTAGGCAGGGGTGGGACCTCAAGTCTGGCCTAAGTTTCAGTCGTCTGTTCCTTCCCTTGGTGCTTTATGTGTCTGCCTGGGGTCAGGGCTCATCCATTGCCTCTGCATTAGTGTGCTTCAGGAGCCCCAGTGGTTTGTCACGTTTTATTGAGATACAGTTGGCATAGCATACGATCCTCCCATTTAAAGCATACAGTGTCGTGATGTTTAGCACGTCGAGAGTTGGGCAGCCATCACCAAAACCAACTTTAGAACATTCCGGTCACCCCTCCAGGAAACCTCGTAGCCATTGGCAATCACTCCCCATTTTCTCCCAGCCCCATAGGTCCCTGGCACCTGCTCATCTTTCTGCCCCTAGATTTGTCTGTTCTGGGTATCCCATGTAAATGGAATTGTAGACCGTGTGGTCCTTAGTGAGCTGGTTTCTTTCGCTTCCTGTGATGTTTCTGTGGCTCACCCGTGTGATAGCACATGTCTATACTTGATAACCTTTCTGTGGCTGGGTAATACACACCCCATTTTGTTTATTCAGTCAGGTGATGACAGGTCGAGTTGTTTCCATGTTTTGGCTGTTACAAATTGTGCTGCTCTGAACCCTCTTGGTATTCAAAGTGTTTCCTTTTGCAAGCGTGAGGCAAGAAATGCCTCCAGTGTATCATTCCTGGTGGGAATGAGTTTCTACGTGTCTCTGCTCTTGGGGCCGGAAAGTTCTGTCTTAAGTCTAGCCTGCTTCCCTCCTGCTTCAGGGTTGCCTTCCTCTGATTGTCATGCCACTGCCACGTGCTGGATGAGACAACCCCACAGCCCCTGTACGTCACAGTCCAGCTTCCTTCAGGTGAAAACAACCCTGTATGCTCTCTCAGGTGACACGTGTGCCTTTTACTGAATCTTTTTCCCCCGAACGAGGTCGCCCTCCTTTGTATCCAGGTGCACAGGGAGCGTCCTTAAACTCTGCTGACCACAGATGGGTGTTTTCACTCCCCTTCTTCCACCACCGCCAACAGATCCAAAGCATTTGGTGCAGAACACGGAATACTGCCAATTACTTTTTTTTTTTTTTCTTTTTTCCTTTGGCCACGTCAGCACTTAATTTGGCAATGAAAATGCCACCCTTGCACCACTGCAGGGTCATTTTCCCAATTTAGCTGTACAGCCTCCCCCAGAAGTCTTCAGCCCTGTGGGTCTGAACTCACACTGGGCGGCATCTTCACTTTCTCCCTCTCTCTGAGGGGCCCCCGGCACTGCAGCTTGGCATCGGGGTCCGATATTGCTCAGCTGTGGCAGGTTTCCAAGAGCCAATGACCCTGAATTTGTTTGAGCCACATTTTTGGCTTCCCCTAAAGGGAAACTTTTTTTTCCCTTGTTGGATTACTCAGATCTTTTTTAGAACACCCAGGCTGAAGGGGGAGAGTGGTTGGTTTGGGGGGATTCTTTCCCAGGGGGGTAGGGAATAGTAGAGGTAACAGGAAGTAGGCTTAGGAAGAGAAGATACTGACCAGTCCTGGCAGGGATTTATTACACTGATTTATAGGAAACTTTTTTCTTCCTTTTTCTTTTCTTTTTTCTTTTCTTTTCTTTTCTTTTCTTTTCTTTTCTTTTTTTCTTTTCTCTTCTCTTCTCTTCTCTTCTCCTTTCCCTTCCCTCCCCTCCCCTCCCCTCCCCTCCCCGTGGCAAAGAGAGTTACAAACTGACTCATTAACCTTTGTATGCGGAAGGTAAAGAACCTTCCTATGTACTCTGGTGTCTTTATTAGGAAGACTGCTCTAAAATTTACAGCAGTGGTTTTTAGCGGGGGAACATCTGTGCCTCCCAGGATACTTGGCAGTGCCTGGAGACTTTTTTGGTGGTGACAACTGGGATGGAGGAGGGCAGTGCTAACACAGAGGGTGGAGACCAGAGACGCTGCTAAGCATCCTACAATGCACAGCACTCTCCCCCCACACCCTCCCCCCCCCCCGAAAATAGAGCATATGCTCTGACTCCACGCTCCCCAGGTTCTTTCCTGTCATCTTGGGAGAAACACCTTTCTCCCACTTTTCAGAACCTTACTACATCTCAACCTCATGTCTGATTTTTTCTGTTTTTCAGATTTTTGCTGACAGTTTCTTTTTTTTCTTTTTCTTTTTTTTTACTGATTAGGGAATCAATATGTGCTCATTTTAGACAGCTGGAGGCTGCAGAAAAACCCACAAAACCAGGAAAAAGAATGTCCATCCACTCACCCACCTGCCAGAGTGTTTGTCTGTGTCTGTCTTGCCTCGGCCTTACTCCCGAGCAGAGGAGTGCCCTCTGTGCATTCAGCCATCAGGTCTCCTTTCTTTCTTTCCTTAACAGTGGTAACAGTGGGTCATAAGCACCGCCCCATATTGCAAAAGTCTCTCATAAACACCGACCAGCTGCTGGAGAGTCCAGCATCCAGATGGCACATTCCTTTAGGCTGTTCTCAGTAGCCATATTTCTTCCTCCTGAGTACGAAGAACTTTCTGGGCCTAGGCTGGTGGATTGGGCCAGGCGATGCAGCCGGT